ATAACGTGACGGTTCTTTCGGTATAAACACCTGTTACTTTTCTTAATGCGTGTTTATTTGTCCTCGCCATTTTGTCTGCGATGTTATTGATCGAGGCGGAAGTGAGTGGTTTATAGTTAAAGAGAAAAACACTTCTTAAACGGTGAAAGGTGATATCGATTCCTCATTTTGCTAAACGCAAGAGTAGCTCGTGTGTAGACTTCTCCTAAATTCTCCTCCTGACTGGAAGTTTTCCTGAATACAAGAACTGGAAAAATGTTCGAAAGCGTGCCATTCAATCGACATTTCCGACTATTCCGGTAACACAATCAAGTGAAAATTTAAATCCCTCCATAATTGTCAAAAATATGAGTTATCCTTCTTGTATATTATTTTCCTGGAAAAATTTCGAAAAACCTTAAAATTATACTGTTTCTCCATGCATTCGTTACGTATAGGGATTTCTCGCAATTCTAAATCGAAATTCACTTTGTTAAACGGAAAATTTCCATATTTATTAGCCGATTATGATTTTTAATTTAGCTTACGACTGAAATTATATTTTTTCTTTTCTTTTTTCCGCTGAAGGTGTGTCTTCCAGATTAAAATATTGAGTAATTTTACTGAAAGTAAATTTTTCGTTTTTCTATCTGATTTTGATTATTCCTTCATCGCTTCGTTGCCGTCAGGATCAGTTTGCTGTTTATATATTTCTTACATACTGCCAGCTGACTGCGGAAACCCTCAGTGAAGCCCTCAAAGGGGGTGGTGAGGGTCGGGGAGAGGGGGAGAGGGGGAGCTTATTTATTTCAAACATATTTGATTGGGCGGGGGGAGGCTTAATTGAGAGGTGGGCTTGTTTAATTTGGGGCTTTTATGATATTGCCTCTTCAAATAACTAGAGGATGGAGTCGTCAGTGGTATGGCCTGGTTCAATTCTCCACGAATAACTAGTGAGAACGGTGAGTGGAAAATCTCAAGCATCTGTAGTTGGAAGTCATGCCGCCCTATTAGATAAATCCCAACTTCCAGCCCGAGAATCTGATGAATAAACCATACCGGATCAGTAAACAGGAAGTGTTAAAGTAGTGATTAGTCAATACGAATAGTCCGTACTGTGTATAAGAAATCGCGGACATACTGCGAGAACTGAACAAGAACTGACTGCTATCCCGCTACAGCCGCTGAATAAGATTGGAGAAATACCGAAGCCAACAAATGTACGTCTCACGGGATCTATCAGAAGGAAATGATCGATGAAACTAAGGAATTGCAACCTGAAAGATAACTGGTACTGTGAGGACAATATAGGAAAAGACGCGGCTCGAGGGGTAGCAGCCAAAATACCCACCGGTAATCCGACAGGGAATTAGACTCCCTTGTAAGACTGAAATACCGGGAGCGGCTGCAGAAAAAGAATAACAAGGAACGGATTGGAAAGAAATACAACCAAAGCAAAGAATAAAACTAAGAAAATACTGCAAACAAAAGGGAAAAAGTGCAGAGAATACTCAGGCTGAATACTGACCTTGAAAATATAGGTTGCAAAACAAGATACTTACCGCGAGCATAGCTTAAGAAATTGAGGAGGATGGAAATAAAAACAGGAGGCAGAAAGGAAGCGGCGAACGCCAATGAAGAAACAACGGGAAAGGCGAAAGGGTGAGGAGGGAAGGAGTTTGACGAGCACGTTTAATGAGGCCATGATTAGACCTGTGTGTCTTGTCTTGAAGATGATGATGAATGCATGGTGTATGTCTTATATAGTCGCTTGGGCAAGACTATGCAGAAAGGCACTAAACTAGTATGCAGAAAGACACTGACTAGACACTTAATTAATCGGCAGGAAGGCACTTTTTCCCAACCCATTTTCCCTTGGTTATAACAATGGGTGACGTCATAAACTCGACCTTTATGCATATCAATGATTTACCTCGACCTTACTCGACACTTACTCGACATCAACGAGGCTTAATTGCACTTTGCACTTTTTATTTGAGTGTCAATGTATTTAGCACGAAAGTGCTAATTGGGGACACTATATTTTACGTCTCCTAATGGAGAAGGGACCGCCATTTTACGTGGTCATCCGAGCCACGCGAAGGTCTAGCCTGTTGCAGTGCAAAGGAAGTACCTTCATTTCTCAGTCATTTTAAGACCCTGAGTATTGGTCCGGCCCCGGGAATCGAACCCGCGACCTCCCGCTCTGCAGTCAAACGCTCTACCGACTGAACTAATCCTGCCACGGTAATTCTGACCTTCCATGACTATTTATGCAACTGTATTTTAAATTTATTTTTAATTTTAATGATACACCAGTGAGCAACACACGTACACTTCCAGTGAACATTTATTTTAATGATACACTAGTGAACAGCACACATACACTTCCAGTGAACATTTTACACTTGTGCATGGAAGACGGAGAAACCATGTAAATTACAGTAAAATTCCCTGACGGTTTTCTGGCTGGCTTCTCTGTGATGTAACTGCGTTCAAATGAGCTGTTCTTTTTCTGTAGATTATTGATCGTCTTCATTGGGTCTTCATTGTCAGAGAACTAATTTGCTAACTGGTGAGTAATATTTTCATTTTGTATTCAGATGACTCTGATTATTAACTTGTATGTTTAACATAAACAAATGAGTTTGAGGGTTTGATTTCCGTCGTTTCCCTGGTCCGGTCTTTGATCCTCCCCGAAGAATTTTTTTGGGGAGAGGGGGGGGGAAACGGTTATCTATCCTAATGAGTTTTGTTTTTGTCTTCTAACCTGCAATGAGACAGAAAACAATCTTAATGGTTCAATTCGGAAAGACATAGGACATTTGTCTGGGTTTCTAAGTCGAGCTATGGTTAACTCTTGGAACGTAAAAATGATGGGGGGATTGAGGCCAATCCCCTCGGTTTTTTTTTGTCAGTTTTATCAGGTGTATTTTCTCTGCGCTCCTCTCCATTTCAAAAGCCATGAAAGCTCTTCTTTTATGTTTGAGACCCATTTTGTATTTGAATTTGGTGAAAAATAAATGACAAGCGAGGTGTGGTTCTACAAGCTTATAAAAAAAAGAATTAAAGGTCTAATTTTAAAGCTTATGGGAAGTACAGTACCCATATTATTTATTTTCTTTCATATTTTACAGTTTCCTGTGAAGTTCGTTAGTAAATGTTCCTTTAACAAGCCAAAGCTACACTTTCTGGACGGTGGTTTACAACTGGTAGTCTTAATGCCATAAGTCTTAGTCTAAGTCTTAGTTGATACAGTCTTAGTCTAAGTCTTAGTTGATACAGAAGTGTAGTTGTTGTAATGTTTCTTTTACAGCTTGTCTCACTCCTGTGATCTTCCAGCAGTACAGCAACGGATTTAACGACGAGTTTAAACACACTATAGTAGCTGTAAATTGCAAAGCAAGGTAAGTAGATAAAGACATTCCCCATTGAATTGTTAAAGCTACGGCTATACCGTACGGAAGATAACAAATAACCAATGTTACCTGCACCCACAGTGCACTGTACACTGCCTTTCTGTATCGAGCTTTATTCAGTGTATTTGCTTGGCTCGATTGCCCTTGAAGAACATGGTTCTGACCATGAATTTGGTTATGACGCAGAGACATGAAAATTTTTGTGTAGGCACAGATTGTAGTAGCCTGCGCGCAGACGAAATTAAACTCTGGTTAACTCCGTCTGCGAAACAGCGCCGAAATCCTTGTTCTGAACTTCCAGCTGTGTACCCAGATTTGAGTACGCGCCACGATTGGCCAGTTAAAAAAGGCCTTTGTTTTGTTTGTCGTGATCGCCAATCAGGTTGAAGGGGAATTCGAAACGCACTTCCGGTAATTCGTTGAGTCCGTTGGGGGTCCAGAACAAGGATCTCTGCGCTGCTTCGCAGACGGTACTAATCAGAGTTTAGTTATCGTCTGCACGCAGGCTAAGATTGTAGTAACTAAACAATGAAACTATAAGAAGATTCAGAAAGGATGTAGATGAACCGACAATGGACACAATCCAACCTCCAATAGCAATTAAACATGTTCTTGTCAAAGTTACAACTTGTCTGTACCTGAAACCCAGTAGCAAAGCGAGAAGTCTGTCCACACTTATTGCAGTCAGTGTTATCAACGACACTGAACACAAAGTAACAGCTGCGAAATGTGCTGACAAATATGTGTAATAGCAAATATCCCATCTTTTGTTCACCACAGATGTCCAATGAGCAACATTCAGGAGCTCGACAATGATACCAACACAAAGATCAGTTATCGCTAGGTTACGATACAGGAGTTTGGATGGCGGATGAATTGATGTGTCCTTGTGAAGGGCAACTAGGATCAGAGTATTCCCCCAAAATGCTGTAATTGACAGAAAAATGTTGATGACAGAGAGAAAAATGAGCTGCCCATGTACCTCTCCAGTAATTTCCACAGAGCAGTAAAGTTCTGCATATGTCTGCAGGTTTTCACCTCCAGTTAAATTTTTCATTTCCATGACTTTTCTACGGTGGTCCAAAAGTGTCACGGCAATTTCAATTTGACTCACGGCAATTTCAATTTACTCACGGCAATTTCAATTCAATTTGACTCATGGCAATGTCAATTTACTCACGGCAACGCTCAAGGCATTTTTCGCTTCGCTCACCACCTGTCAACTACAGCGGCCGACTGGGACGAACTCAGACCGGTATGAGTTTATATCGGTCTCCATACATACCCGACCCGAGTTACTTTCGAACGGGTCTGAAACCGTACCGTTCTAATGTAAAACAAAATAACGAATCTCAGACCGGGTCCATAAGTAGCATGTTTCTTCATTTGGCTCCACCATTGTTGCTTTTTCTTAGCAAAAATAGGAACACTGTTACCAATAACAATCAGTAAACAAGCCTTAGAAGTAGTTTCAATGCTTTGATAAATGTGAGGGATTGCACCATTTTGAGATGCTGTGCAGTAAATATTAAACGGCCACCAGGTGAGTGCTAGATAAAGCTTATAATTTTCTGGGAGCAGTAAACTCTCCAGTTGTCTTCTCACTGTCTACTGGCATAAGTGTTCGTGAATCGACTTTTGATGTTTGATTTTCACTTTTCACTTTGAAGATCTACTTTTTAAAGTCGATACTTAAAAGTATCGACTTTTGATTTTGCGTTTTGACTTTTGGTGGCCACTGTCGGCCGCCGTAGTAGACAGGTGGTGAGGTAAGCGAAAAATGCCGTGAGCATTGCCGTGAAAATGTAGAAATTGCTGTGAGTAAATTGAAATTGCCGTGAGCAAAATTGAAATTGCCGCGAGTAAATTGAAATTGCCGTAAATAAATTGAAATGGTTGCTGTGAGCAAATTGAAATCGCGGTGAGTAAATTGAAATTACCGAGAACAAATTGAAATTGCCGGTGAGTAAAATTGAAATTGCCGTGAGTAAAATTGAAATTGCCGTGACACTTTTGGGCCACCTTACTTCTCTGCGATGCGGCTACAGTCAACCCAACTGTGATTTAATACATCTGTCTCCTTATATGACTGCTACACATGTGACCTTGTGAACAAACAATTTAAAATATTTGCTCTGTATTTTAAGTTTATTAAGCGATAGAATTCGACAATCTTGGTGTTGCCGTGCGATAAGGGAAGCAAATAGCACAATTGCCTGGCTTTTAGAAAACGAGTTAAACTGTTAGAAATAAAAAGTCGATTAACCAAGTCTTGATCGATAGTTCTGTTAAACATATATTCAAATTGAGTAGAAAACGGTTTTCGTCAATTGCCAGAAGTTAAAATGACGCTCTCATAGGGTCATCGCAGGCACTAAAGCCTCAGTAACAATGTACAAATGTTCAAAAAATGAGCTATAAAGTCTGGGTCGGTTACGAGATGGGAATTAAAGAGAATAATTTTTTTTTACATTCCGTCGAGCTTCGGGAATTAGAATGTAACGTGTTATTACTACAAATATAATAACGTGAAAAAATTCTTGAAACTGATCATTGGCTGAGAGCAATGCAGTTTTAGTAAACACAAAGCAAGAACGAGAAAATTTTGCTAACGGACAATCAGGGACAAAAGTGTTGACACACTTCCGTAAAATGGCCCCTTTTTGCATAGTGAATATACTTATCCCCTTCCCCTGTCTACTCCAACCCCTTCCCCCCAAAATCAGTGTTGAATTTTGGACCATCAAGTCTTTTTTTTACTTCAGACAACATTGATTCGGGGGGTCGGGGGATTTACGGCGTTTTTAAAGGAATGAAATGATAAATGAATGAAATGTTTGTTAAAAGCACCCGTTTTAAACAAGTGTGTCAACTACTTTTGTCCCTGATTGTCTGAAATATCTATCTGTGTTTTCCGGCTAGAATTTTGACGCTGCTGAATTTTTGTGCGATGACGTTACTCTATGGGCCAAATTGTTTGTTTCTAAACATCAATTTATAAAGTTTCGTCCTGATTTGTAGTATACGTAGAGTAAAATGTACGAAGCGTATGTCATTACTTAATCTTGTACTCCCACGCGCGTTCCTCATACCCTTTCGGGTCGAGATGAAATGATTTGTGTTGTGATCAATGCCGTTGCTACGGGTGTAATGTTTTCACAAGCATTATCAAAAAGGATGGAAAAAGGATGGAAAAAGGATGGAAACATTAAGTTACAATGAAAACTGTTCTGGTAAATGGTTAACTTAAGCGAATGAAGTACTGCAGAGTAACAGAGGGGACATGCATTATTTTTGACATTGACTTGTGCGATTAGTGAAAGGACGTGAACAATATACAGGTTATGAACCTCATAAATGATGGGCCAGCCGTTTGGGCTATGCTCTATATATAGACGTGGTTTTTTTTTAGCGTAGGTAGTCGTCGAACGGGTTAGACCATGTTAGGAATGTACTTTTGTAATGATTTTACACGACCGCCTGCCATTTATTCAATGGCATGATTGTTTATTGAAGTTGGATGCACAATTATTTCATTTCCCAGCACGTAAATCACAGAATGCCAAAGAAATTGTTTTCAAGATAGACACACCAGTTTGCATCATCGCCAAAACAGCAATTACTTTGATGACAAACAAAGCAGGATAACAGTACGTGATCGATGACGACCGTGCGCTGGAAAATTTTCGTTTTTTCTGCGCTAATTCCTCACAAAAGGCAAAAGAAGGTTCCGCTATGTAGAAAGTGCTTCGCAATACGTATTCTTGGCGAGAAAAATTCCAGCGATGTGGCGCAAATAAGGAGTTTCAACGGTTAACCACGAGAATACATATCGACATTCAGAGGTCATAACAGACTAATGTTGCTTTCCGTTTGCCGAAACGTGGTTAACCGTTGTAACACGATGGGACCAGTGTTTTCCTCAGTTTGAGCTGTCGTTTTCTTTGAGAGTCAAATACCAGTTCACGTTTCAAAGCTCTCTTTTCATTTTCTCTGCCGACAATAGACAAAAACACAGGGTTTCGCTTGAGAAATGCAGTCGAAATACACAGACATATGCGCTTATGTCACGCTATTTGCGTTGCGTTATCATGTCACACAGGGTGTCACGAGGTGGGATTGAAAGTAATTGTTTTGGTGCACACTTGCAGTGTTTGCTACGCTGTCCTTAGCTTTTTATTGAATTGGCCATGAATTTACCTTCACTTTTCCGTAGTTTCGATATTGAACGCAGTGACGACCGCTCCTCACTAACGCTCCATATTTCCGTGGCCGGCCAGTGACTATCCCCACTACGTGTCAATCCTTACCCTATCCGTGATTGTTTGGGCCTTAACAATCGGATAAAGTGAAGAACGAGAAATATTCACTTTATTAAAAATATTTTCAGTACGCACCCCCTTGAAATTCATCAAAAGTTGTACATAGGCGCGATTTTCAGCGTCAGTTTTTAGCTTGTAAACCATATCGACGTTAATTCTGGATATCGCAGCCCTTTTATTACGTCATCGCGTAATTCGAATTGGCCCTATAATTCGGTCGTGAATAAGTCTATGTCACCCCCACCACCAATAACATAATTATGTCATTGATTCCTTTAATTTCAGTTAAAATCAGTGTCATACACGGCTCAACTTGTGTGCAGTGGTACAATTTTGCATTCAGACAATCAGGGACAAAAGTGTTGACACACTTCCGTAAAATGGCCCCTTTTTGCATAGTGAATATACTTATCCCCTTCCCCTGTCTACTCCAACCCCTTCCCCCCAAAATCAGTGTTGAATTTTGGACCATCAAGTCTTTTTTTTACTTCAGACAACATTGATTCGGGGGGTCGGGGGATTTACGGCGTTTTTAAAGGAATGAAATGATAAATGAATGAAATGTTTGTTAAAAGCACCCGTTTTAAACAAGTGTGTCAACTACTTTTGTCCCTGATTGGAGGTGTTAAGTTTGTGAGCCGAGCATTTGATATGTACCCTGCGAGCAGAGTCTTCTTCGATCTTCCTACATAAGTCGACTTATGTAGGAAGATCGAAGGAGACTCTGCTAGCAGGGTAATGTATGCGGTGCCGTAAACTGCCGCTTATAACTAATCCCTGGGATTATACATCTTCGTAAGGGGACAGGAGGGCTTCTAAATGGAGCGGCTTATAACCGAGGGGGATTATAGACGGAATGGCAAAAGCGCTTCAAAAGAAGCTAAAGCAGGGCTGATTTAAAATGCGTTTTTCATTTACTGGCGTTTAATTCAGCTTCAAAACATCATAATAATCGAATTCATTTCAATACAATTTAGAGGGGAGCTTATGTTGTGGGGCAGGTTTTTTTTGTTGTTTCAGGTTAACCTTATATCCACATACAAATTCTCCAAACTGGTCTATATACATTTCCTTTAAGAATTAGTTGAGAGAATTGGATAAAATATCAAAGTATTTTCTCTTAGGTGATCATTTTGTTAATTCTGATAACCTCATCTCGTGACAATGTATGGATATCGTTCGGAGAAAATTGCTGTTAGTCACTATTGGGACTTAAAGGGTTAATGGGCCTATTACTGGTGGGGCTCATATTAAAGTTGGGGGCTTTTAAGCGTTTCTATATTTTGTAGCTTCAAATTGCTTGTGCCGTTTTTCTATAATCAACTTTGTCTGACGTTCACATAGATACCAGCAGTAATTTGGCTACATTTTCTTTGACGAGAAAGTCTTAACCGAGTATATCCCCAAACATGTCAAACTTAGTGGGCTATAACTTTTACATCTTGGGCGGTTTATTTGCAATTGCTTTAATTGCTATTTCACTACGTCAGGATCATATCTTCATTTAAAATTGTTTTTTTAATTTATTTCCGCCGTTCACATTATCTCCCGGCCCGTCCAATTCGGATCTGTTATATGAAAGGCAAAATATCTAAAATTAAAAACGCCATGGTGACGTTCGTTTCGATGGAGTATAGTAAACCCAAAATATTAACATGGAACTTGCACCATCATTCACCATCATATTTATCCTCTTTTGTCTCACAGAAAAATTAGCTCGCCATGTACCTCTCCTCGACTCTCCAGTGAATTTTGCAGGACAATACAGTTCTCTAATTGTTTGCTAGTTTGTCATTACCATGACTTTTCTCCGAAGCAACTACGTTCAAGCGAACCTTTTTTTAATATATCTGTCTTCCTTATATGATAGCTTCATCATGTCAAAAACCAATTAGATATATGTGGGCTGTATTTTCATTTGGCAGTGATTAAACGACAGAGTTATTGGAAATCTTGTTGCTGCCGTGATATTGGCAAAACCAACAGTACAATTGTCTTGTAGAAAACGAGCTAAACTGTCATGATCAGTCATCTGTTAAACAAAGATTGAAATTGATTTAAAATGGTTTGTTCAATTGCCAGAGGTTTAACTGACGCGCTCACAGGGTGAGTATACGTAGATTATTAATGTACTACTAATCGTCTCATCGCAACCAGGAAGTCTGAGCAGTATACACATGTTCAAAAAATGGCTAGGGTCAGTTAGTTTACGAGATGAGAATTAAAGAGAAAAAAATGCTTTACGTTCGTTTAAGCATAGGGAATTATTTAAATGTAACCTGTTTTTCATCATCACAATAGACATTAAAAAAATCTTGAATCTGAGGATTGGCAGAGAGCAATACAGTTTTAGTAAACACAGAGAAAAAACGAGAAAATATAATGCAAAAACAAGGTAATAAAATGTTTATATATCAGAAAATGGAGTCCTGTGATTGGCTAATAAGCAAAAGATATACATAAGAACCAATTAGTTGCCACAACTCACAGGAAAATAATCAGCCGCTATGAGCGGGTAGTTTCTAGGGTGTAAAAAGTAGAGTTTTATTAACACATGTGAATATACACTTTCTCATTGTCGTCTTCGCTTGGCCATTGCATTCAGCTCAGTTAAGCTCACATATATTGCCCTTTTCGTTTGGCTTTCCAATCTTATGTTCCTTAATGGCAATGGCCCGTCTTTTCTTTTTAATAAGGTTGATCGCTCCATGTAAAGGAATCAAAGACAGTCCTGGATTCTGGATTCCACGCCGCGGACTCCGGATTCCAGTCTTTGTCAGTGGAACCTGGATTCTAGATTCCAAGTGTGATGTAGTGCGATTCCGGGTTTTTGAGCTGTATTCTGGATTCTGAAGCCCAGGATTCCGGATTCCAGAGGATTCCGGAAACCAGATTCTCTGCTTACATTCGGTGAGGTTGAGGAAGGCCTTAAATAGCACACTGCATGAAACTAGGGACTTTAAGATGCCACGGCGACGACGACAACGGGAACGTCAAAAAAGCAATTGGTTGAATAAGCAAAACAACAACCCTGCATGTGCATCTCGCTTTTTTGTACATTTCATTACCGTCACTGCGCAACTACGACGGGAAAATGCCTAACGTCACGTTTTATGGAGGACGTGAACAAGCGACGGCTAAATTTTCTGTCTCTTTCTGAACTTGAATATGATTCTTAGGAACTCGGCTCAAAAAGAGTTTGCTTGCATTTCACAAAGTAAACGAGTTCGAGTTATGCGCATTTGATTATTATTTTTTAGAAAATGCGCCATATAATTATTAAATATTATTATTAGTAGTAATCACGATAGAGATTGAAAGAACGCAAACTCACTATGTAAGCGACGTTTTCGTGGCCGTGGCCGTCGTGGTATCTTACCTTAAAAGTGTTCGATAGCAATGGGAATTTTCATATGAGTGTAAGACCCCAATCTGAAACTACCTCGTACATCTATGATGTTGCCATTTCAGACGTGGACGATACGATCTATCTACTAGTGATACAGTTGATGTCACCGAGAATCTCGTCGCCAGAGAAGTTTGAAGTTCAAGTCTTTAACGAGACTCTTGTCTTTCAGCTTAGGTTTCCTGTTGCGAAAGGGAGCGATTTCAACAGACTGACCTTTAACGGTAGGCTATATTGAAGGAACATAAAGTGGTTGATCTATACCATGCAAGGAACGGTAGCTATGTTGGTTCGTGAAGCGATAATCGAGTCTGCACAGGAAATCACTGCGTCTAAAGATGGGCGAGTTATGGTGTTGGACTCAGACCAATCCTGTCACTTGTTGTTCAATGTAGATGGACTACATCTTGCCAACTTCAGTGTCAACATCCGAGGAGATCGCTATTACCGCATTGTATGCCACCCAGTTGGTGAACACGTTGTAGTCGCTGGTGAAGAAAGAGAGACACACCTCCTGATAGTAGCAATATACACTGTCAATGGAGACTTTGAACGAAAGATTCAGTTGAACGAAACTTTAAACTATACTTTTTTTGGAACGCAAGGCCCTTCATTAACAAGTGTCCCAGCAGGGTCATATTACAGTGGCTTTTGACGTAAAATGGGGTGGAAGAGTAATTGTGCTTAAAAACTATCGCACTTCTCGAGGAGACAACCAACTGTAAAGAGGGTATGGATGGGGGGTACAAATGTCAGTTGTCAGTTAACAGTACCGGATCCAGACCTTGAGATAAGGGGAGCCCCGGTCATTCAGACCCTTAGATAAGGGGGCGGGGAACCCGGCCCCCCTGGGCCCCTCCCCCGGATCCGACACTGATTAAAATTTTAGGCTTTCTGTTAATTGTCAGTTAAATGATTATTAATAATTAACTATGAAACTTATTTGTATATTTTTTATCCGACTTGTAGCTAAAAGAGCACATATAAGGTGAATTAAACATTAAATTCAAACACTGATGCAATAGTACGTTAATTTTTACCAGTTTTGCAATTGACAGGATTCCAAATAGCCCTCCATTTCTCAAATCTTGTGTTACCCTCCTCCACAAACTTTTTTACTGGCCAGAGGCCAACATTTCCAACCAATAAGCCAATCAAAATTTGTACCTTCAGAGGATTTGGACGTAGATCGTAAGAAAGACCAAGAAACACCGCATCTGAATCATCTTTGTAAAAATTTACAACTGCTTTTATAACGCCCTCATTAGCAGCCATCGTGCATCCGTGCTGCTGCTAAGGTTACCCATGTAAACGTACATTTGATCACATTTTCTGACTTAAAGAGTAGAACGAAGTTTTCAAAAGACCTTAGAAACAGTGTTTTGTAGAAAACAAGAACGCGCTTACAGGTGCAGCCAGTCTCGCTTGCTTGGAGATTAGATCGAGAAATGAGGAGGGGATTAATTCTACACGAAACAGGATCATTGCCAGAGACCAAAACAGTGATTTACATGGCACTTCAATTCAATCATCGCGGAAAACAAGTCGCATGCTCATCACAATACCCATTTGTATGCAATGAAAGTTTACAACACCCGACCATCGCAGTTTCGCTAGTTTAAGATTCTTATTTTTTTGTTTTTAACCACTCAGTAGTGTTCACTTGTTTCAAAGTAATTCGTGGACCGACACGTTTCGGAAAAGCGCTAAATTTAATTTTTCCTAAGCTTTCTTCGCAAAACATGCGTGGCTTCGATCAGGCAACGATTCTTAGTCCCAGTTTCCACGGTCTCAGCAAGAAGGCCTGACACAATGACCCCCCACCCCCCACCACCACCATTTGTGTATAAAATACGACGAAAAACTCTGAAGAGTACTTCCAGAAAAGTTGGGTGGGGGTGTGCGGCACCCTTCCTGAAACCCTTACCCTATTTCAGAACAAAATCTGTGATTTTCCCTACCCTATTTCAGACCTGATCAAAAATTTGGTACCCTATTTCAGACCTGAGCCCTGGAGCCCGGCGCGTGACCGGAGCGCGTGCGTGACAAGCTGTTACGCCACGTACAAGGTTGGCGTAAACATTAAAAGGGAAATGGTCTTATCGCTTAATGATGAAGAAGTAGCTTCTTCTAATAAAAACATACTCAATTCACATACCCTATTTCAGACCAAAAAGGCTAAAACACCAAACCCTTTGGCGCCGTACATACCTCTATGGCCCATATAAGGGAGTACCCCGGGGCGAAAAACGCGTTGCAGATTATGGGTCTCACTGCTTACGCATGCGAGAGTAATAAAGAACAATCAGGGCCTTTGTCACTTGACAGTAAAACCCAAGGTAAATGTCAGTTGTCGGTTAAATTTTAGGCAATCACGTGTTCCCAAAGACCACTTAACAAGAAGTTTGGGCAACAAGTTTATTGAATCCGATACGACAACAAGTACAATGAGTAGCGAATGACGTCGAAACTGAATCAATAGACTCTCTCGGGAGGGAAGACTGGGTATTGTGCTTGCCCTCCGAATTGAGCTTATGACGGACTGATTCATGCAGCGAGCCTTCAGATAAACCTTTCATGACGTCACTTATGATGACGCGTAATTAGTTAACCAAAATCAATTAATGTAATTATTGAAGGAATATTTTTTGTCAGTTAATATCTTGGCTATTCGTTAGTTGTCAGTTAACCCCATCCAGACCTCCTGAAAACAGATTCACCCTGAAGTCATGCTGAAGGGCATTTTTTTAGTTCTACAGTTTGCACTGGGGTGCCGTCAAGCAGCTCCGCCAAGTTTTGTGGAACAAGATGCAACTACTGCGGAGAAAGCAATTATAAGACTGCTTCTGAGAATTTTTGCGCGTGAAACGTGTTTCTTTTCCAAAGCTAAGTGAGGAGGGTGGAGTTCAATGCGGGGTGTGGGAAACGAGTGTAGAACAGCGAGTGAATTAAGGATAATGGGTAGGCCTCCGAACTTAAAAATTTCTGAATATGAGATTGCGAGCGGCTGGTGACGAGGCAGACGCAGAGTGATTATAAAACTTTGTAAATAGACAAAAAGTCGACAAGGAGATATAGAGGTTCCCCAATGGGTTTTCCGGGATCCGTGAGGTTTCGCTGCGTTGCGTTATGTTATTCTAAAATTTCCTAAAGTGAATCTATTTCTGTAGGGGAATGAACTTGCTAATTCGTTTCTTTTCTTCAGAGTACATAAGTGTTTTTTACAAATGATAAAAATTTTTTCTTGGAGGCAAAGATTACAATTTTTGTTAGCCTTGTCATATGGTTTACAATTACTCAGTACTTTCCCCTGCAAGTGAAAGGATCTGTTGGCATCTTTGAGGGTCCACACCTGTTTGGACAGTTCCCCCTCGTTTCTTCTGTTCGCGTGTCGGAAGGATGACAAGAGATTTCTGTACTGTTCTTTGAAGTCAGTGGCTACTGAGTCCAATGTATGATTCTGTTGTTGTCCCAGTCGTTACAGTCGCTTGGTAAATCACGTTTTGTCTGAGGCAATTACCGCCAAGAAACCGGAATGCCCTCTTGAAGGTAATTGCCTGCAACCGACTAACTTCAAAAAACGGTGCAGAAATCACTTGACATCATTAAAATTGTGACTCGTTGAAATACTGCTAGGGACCACTACTGACTTACTGCCCGGCGTCAGATAAAGGATTTTAATCGGCCTTTTAATGATTTTTCATTGTTTTAAATTGCCAAGTAGTAGAGTGAGTTGATTTTTTTGCTAAACCAATTTAAAAAATCCAGGTAAAACTATATATTATAATATATTATGTATATATACTTTCCCCATATACAGCAACTTGTACATAGCACCTCTATCTGTTTTTCGATTAGTTTGCAGCTTGTTGACTGTTGTTCTTCTTCTCTTTAATAAAGTACACTGAATTACGTTGTAAGCAATCCAAAATTCGAGGCAAAACTTTCTCAGTTTGCCGGACAGCTACCGATGGCTAAGATTGATGCACTTACCTAAAATAATTATTCAAATTAAAGTTTAATTACAAATAAAGTGAAAACAACGAAAGACTACCATTTCTCCCGGAAGATACGTTTTTATTATGATTCACCAAACAATCAATTGGCCAAATCAACGTGTTCCTGTTTTTCTGTGTGACGTGCAATACAAATTACCAAGCTCAGCCAAACTTTCAAATCGAAGCAGTTTTCTCGCCGCTTTTTTTCCCGAAATATGCTGTCTTGTCATGCAAGCCTGTAGGGGCGAATTTGACAGTGAGAGGGGACAAAAGTTAGCAGTGCTGGTGGCGTACTCAACTGTTATATGAACCCAAGGCCCATTTTTGTAAAAGTGGGGGTTTCGTTTCCCTAGGGCCGTTGTGATGTTCCATCTTTTAAGCACTGTATATGAGTCTTCTTTAGCTCTTAGCTGAGAAAGTACTTCGCTTTTGCTACTAATTCCTGCAATAATTCGACCTCGCAACAGACTGGATAAAACAATTGATAGTTGATACGATGGCAAATAATAGCAGTAGGTAACTGAGTTAGTCATCTGAGCATTCCCCCGAGTGGGACTGATGACAGCCCCTTCTCCTCCACTGATATTACGTTACCATGTGGGTATTCTTGGTTTGCAACCACGTGACAAGGTGGCAATGTTGGGGGTAGATACAATAGAATTGTTTTCTCGAAGAATTTACATGAAAATAGAGGTTACTTCCCAGAGAAGAGAAATGGTTTTGTTCTTGACGACCAAGATGGCCGCTGTGACGTCACCTGCAAACCAGAAGTATAAGGGTTCACTTTTCATTATATCTAAAAACATACAGGAACATAAGCCTTCTATGCTCGCAAACTGTTAATGTGTATTTATTGGCCATAAAATTTAAATTACATCATGTACTAGCCCTCATTATCTCACAATAAACATTGTTCGATTTTGAACAAGCATTCGGAAAAGTAATATTTTTGCGCCCAGATTAGTTTTACCAAACTGAACTTATGACCTTTGTTAAACCTGATTATACTATGAACATAGTGGCTTTTATGGTTATCATCAGGTGTCATTTATGCTGTGTATTTTCAAGATAAGTTCGCCATGTACCTCTCCAGTAAATTCGGCAGAACAGAAAAGCTCTCTGATTGTCTTCTGGCTATAAAAAAACATTAGTCAAAAGAGTTTGTCGGTGTGATGTTGCGAGCAAGTGAGCTGTTCTCTTTAAGAATATGCGCCTGCTTCGTTTAGTCTTCATTACCAGAGAACTAATTAGCTAACTGACTAGTTTTAGTGATATTTTCATTTTGTTTTATGATTATTAAACTTTTTAACATAAACAAATGATTTTGTTTGTGTCTTTACAATCTGCAATGAAACAGAAAACAAACAAAAGGTGCAATTCAGACTAGGACATTTGTCTGGCTTTCTTATATATATTTTCTTATCAAGTTCGTTAGTAAATGTTCTTAGTCTAAGTCTTAGTTCAAGTACAGAAGTGTAGTTGTTGTAATGTTTCTTTTACAGCTTGTCTCACTTCTGTGATCTTCCAGCAGTGCAGAAATGGGTTTAACGACGAGTTTAAAAGCACTAAAGTACCTGTAAATTGCAAAGCAAGGTAAGTAGATAAAGGTATCCCCCTTTGAGGTGTTAAAGTTGCAGCTATACCGTACGGCAGATAACAAATAACCAATGTTACCTGCACCCACAGTGCACTGTATACTGCCTTTCTGTATCGAGCTTTATTCAGTGTATTTGCTTGGCTCGATTGTCCTTGAAGAACATGGTTCTGACCATGAATTTGGTTATGACGCAGAGACATGAAAATTTTTGTGTAGGCACAGATTGTAGTAACTAAACAAAAAGCTATAACAATATATTGGTACAATGAAACTATAAGAGGATTCAGAAAGAAGGTAGATGCACCGACAACGGACACAATCCAACCACCAATAGCGATCAAACGTGTTCTTTTCAAAGTTACGACTTGTCTGTATCTGAGACCCAGTAACAAAGCAAGAAGTCTGTCCACGCTTATTGTGGTCATTGTTATCAACGACACTGAACACAAAGTAACACCTGGGAAATATGTTATCAAATCTGCGTAATGGCAAATATCCCATCTTTTGTTCACCACAGATATCCAATATGCAACGCTTAGAGGCTCCGCAACGATACCAACACAAAGATCAGTTATCGCTAGGTTACGATACAGGAGTTTGGATGACGGATGAATTGATGTGTCCTTGCGAAGGGCAACTAGGATCAGAGTATTCCACAAAAATGCTGTAATTGACAAAAAAGTGTTAATGACAGAGAGAAAAACGAGCTCGCCATGTACCTCTCCAGTAAATTCCTCAGAGCAGAAAAGTTCTGCAATTGTTTGCAGGTTTTCACCTCCAGTCAAATTTTTCATTTCCATGACTTTTCTGCGATGCGGCTACAGTCAACTGAACTCTTTTTTAATATATCTGTCTTCCTTATATGACTGCTACGTGCATCCTGGCAGCAAACAATTAAATATTTGCTCTGTATTTTCAGTTTATTAAACGATGGAATTCGACAATCTTGGTGTTGCCTTTGTGTTGCCATGCGATTAGCGAGCAAATAGCACAGTTGCCTGGGCCCGGTTGCATAAAACCTGCACTTAAGTGCCATCTTAAGTAGGTCACTTAAGAATCCGTTATGGGTACACTTACGGGTGTTGCATGGAACACACTTAGCACTCTCGTAAGTTTCTGTTTTACGCGGTAACTTACGGGCTCACTTAAGGGCATACGTAACTTTGTTATAGTACTTTTAATTATTAATTTGACTCACTCTATTTTTTTAAATTAAGTTAACCATCGGTGAGTGTAAAGAAAGTGTCAAGTCGCTTCGAACACCTTTTTAAGCCTCTCATTGAAATAAAGTTTACATGAAATCGTTATTTTACTTCAATATCCATTGGAAATGTTTGTTGTTCTTCTTTTTTCTTAACGACGGCTTTAAATTGTACATCACATGTTAACAAAGCGCATTAGAACGGAATTACGTAAAGAAAATACAATTTTTTTTTCACTTCTCGGTAAAAGATCTCGTTAACTTTAGTAAAAACAGTAAGGATACGGGACCCACATAGGTCCCGTAAATTTAAGTGCTAATTTTCCCGTAAAAAAGGTTTTATGCAACACCCGCAATTTCTGTTGCATAAATGACACCTAAGTGGATACTTACGAAAATCGTAAGTGCAGCCACTTAAGTGAAATCCCTAAGTGGACCACGCAAATGATTTAATGCAACTCACTTAAGTTACGAGTACACGTACGTATACCCGTAACTGTTACGGGCGTTTTATGCAACCGGGCCCTGCCTCTTAGAAAACGAGTTCAACTGTTAGTAATAAAAAGTCTATTAACCAAGTCTTGATCGATATTTCTTTTAAGCATATATTCAAATTGAGTAAAAAACGGTTTTCGTCAATTGCTAGCAGTTAAACTGACGCGCTCATAATGTCATCGCAGGCAGTGAGGTCTCAGTAACAATGTAGAAATGTTCAAATAATGGGCTCGAAAGTCTGGGCCATTTATATTACGAGGTGGGAATTAAAGAAAATAAAATGTTCGTTTGAGCTTAGGAAATTAGAAAGTAACCTGTTTTTATCATATAAAAATCATGAAAAAGAAAAATGAATTCGACGATTAGCTGAGAGCAATCAGCAGTTTTAGTAAACATAGTGAGAGCAGGAATGAGAAAATTTCGCTAACGGAGGTGTTAAGTTTGTGAGCCAAACATATGATATGCGGTGCCGTAAACAGCCGCTTAAAAGCCCTGGGATTATAAATCTTTGTAAGGGTTTTTACAAGGGCTCTTGATAAAGTAAACGGAGGGGCTTATATCCAAGGGGGATTTTAACGGAATTGGAAAAAGTTGTTCGAAACAAGCTAGAGCAGTGCTGATTTAAATATGTTTTGCAGTTACTGGTAAAAGCTTCAAAATATCATAATAAATCAAATTCATTTCAATGCTAGTTAGAGGGGAGCTTATATTGGCGAGCCTGTTACTGGTGGGGCTTATATCAAAGTGTTTCTTTATTTTGTAGCTTCAAATTGCTTTTGCCGGTTTTCTATAATCAGGTTTGACTGACGTTCACATGGATACCAGCACTAAATTGGCCACATTTTCTTTAGAAGAGGAAGTCTTAACCGAGTATATCCCCAAACATGTCAAACTTTGTTTGCTATAACTTTAACATTTTGGGCGGCTTATTTGCAACTGCTTAAATTTCTATTTCACTACGCCAAGATTATATCTTCATTTAAATTGCTTTTTAAATTCACTTCCCCCGTTCACATCAACTCCCGGCGCGTCCAATTCGGATCTGTTATGTGAAAGGTAAAATATTTAAAATTAAAAACGCCATGTACCTCTCCTCGACTCTCCAGTGAATTTTGCGGAACAATACAGGTGTCTAATTGCTTGGTAGTTTGTCATTACGATGACTTTTCTCCGAAGCAACTACGTTCAAGCGAACTGTAAGATCCAAGTGTAACATTTTTTCTATTATTCGTTCTTGTGTAATTTGTTTTTCCTTTGCGTACGCAAATAAGTTTATACTTCTTTTCGTCCTTTTGCTTAGTCTTTTTTTTTTTTTTTTTTGTATTAATTTAGGTATTTATTCCTTTCTGTCAGTTTTCGCGCCCTCGTTAGCGTTTCTTTGCTGTTTCATCTTCATTAGCGCCTTTCTAAGTTTCTATAGTTTTATTTTCAGCATGTTCTAGCGTATTTTCCATATCGTAGTTTTGCAGTACAGTTTGTGCAGTTCATTTTGGTCCGCGCTTAGCGCAGTTCTGTTTAGTTTCTTGCAAGTCTCTTCGCGTTATTCGCAGACCGCTTCACAGCAGTTTTCTCTGGCTGAAACAATGTAAGTTTACTTCACAGTCCTCGTTTTGCAGTTTTGCTATTTCCTTACTTGGCTAAACAGGTTCTTTTATGTTTGGGTAAATTAAAGTGAACAATTTCTGCCAGCAAGTTTTTAAACCACTAGGTTCTTACACGCGGGTGTTTTCTGTAACACATTTAATCAGTGTAAATTAAGCCAGTAACTGAGTCACGTGATATACCGCTAGCCTGAATGGAAAACTGAAATTCTCCAGTGAAATAAATTCTGCTCGCGGCTTTCCCCATTTTACTGGAGTATATGGGCTTTGTGTATCGCAATGTTCGCTTGTATAAAAAAATGATTCAAGTAAAACCGTTCATTTCTTTTCGGGGAGGATTTTTTTTCGTAAAGCAAGTTTTGGTTTGGAATGAATTTATAGCCAAAAAGCAGAGTAGACCATAGTAAACTAACCGCTCCATCGATGGACGAGTCGCCTTAATGTTTCTTTTACAGCTAATTTCACTTCTCTGATCTTCCAGCAATAAATAAAGGGGTTCAGAGATGAGTTTATATATACTAAAGTAATTGTAAATTGCCAAGGAAGGTAAGACGATAAATGCATCCCTCTTTGATGTATTAAAGCTGTCGCTATGATAAGTGGCAGATAACAAACGACCAAAGCGGCCTGCAGCCACAGTGCACTGTACACTGCCTTTCTGTATCGAGCTATGTTCATTTGAATTGCTTGGCTTTCTCCTTGTAAGGGGTGGATCCGATGAATTTGGTTATGACGCAGACGGAAGAAAATTTTTGAGTAAGCGACGATTGTGATGGCTAAGCACAGCGCTGTACCTATGTAGTGAACATATTCTCTTATAGCTGTAGAGGCTGGTACGCCAACAACAGAAACAATCCAGAAGGCAATGATAGCTATGTATGTCTTTTTTACAGTTACAACTTGTCTGTATCTGAGCCCCAGTAGCAAGGCGAAAAGTCTGTCCACACTTATTGCAGTCAGTGTTAATAAAGACACTCCACAAAAGGTATAAGCTGCTAAAGTAACCATCAAATGAGCCAGATAACAAATATCCCATTTTCCCGTCACCACAGAAATCCAATAGGAAACATGGAGAGGCTCCGCAATGGTACCAACACAGAAATCAGTTACGGCTAGGTTACGATACAGGAGTTTGGACGGCGGGTGAAGTGAAGTTTCTTTGTGCAAAGCAACTAGGATCAGAGTGTTTCCCAGAACTGCTGCAATCGACAGAAAGATGTTTACAATTGACAGAAAGATCAGTTCACCTTGTAACTCTGCAGTAAATTCCGCCGAGCAGGATAGTACTACGATTGTTTTCTGGTTTTCACCTTCAGTAAAATTCTTCAGCGTCATTTTGTCTGCGATGCAACTACGCGCAAAAGAGTGCTATATAAATATAACGATATGGGGGTCTCCTTAGCTGTTTTACCTTTTATTATCGAGACTAATATTAACTAAGTGCGCAGTATTTACTTATTTATCACTTGTTTGAGGTAGCGCACCTTAGAGGTTCCATTTACAATTGCCTTGAGTTTGACTGAGGCATATATTGCCTGGACGCTAAAATCTTAGTGTTCAATTTTGTAAAAGCAATTTTTAAGGGAAAGTGTTATTTTTGGGCCTCAATTATTTTACCTAACTGAACTAGTGACGGATAGTTTTAATAATAACGTGACAGTTCTTTCGGTATAAACACCTGCTACTTTTCTTAATGCGTGTTTATTTGTCCTCGCCATTTTGTCTGCGATGTTATTGAACGAAGCAGAAGTGAGTGGTTTATAGTTAAAGAGAAAAACACTTCTTAAACGGTGAAAGGTGATGTTGATTCCTCATTTTACTAAACGCAAAAGTAGCTCGTGTGTAGACTTCTCCTAAATTCTCCTCCTAACTGGAAGTTTTCCTGCATACGAGAACTGGAAAAACGTTCGAAAGCGTGCCACTCAATCGACATTTTCGAATATTCCGGCAACACAATCAAGTGAAAATTTAAATCCCTCCATAATTGTCAAAAATATGAGTAATCCTTCTTGTATATTATTTTCCCGGAAAAATTTCGAAAAACCTTAAGATTGTACTGTTTTTCCATGCGTTCGTTACGTATAGGGATTTCTCGCAATTCTAAATCGAAATTCACTTTGTTAAACGGAAAATTTCCATATTTATTAGCCGATTATGATGAAATTAGTTTTCCTTTTCTTTTATCCGCTGAAGGTTTGTCTTCCAGACTAAAATATTAGGTAATTAGTACTGAAAGTATATTTTTCGTTTTTCTATCTGATTTTGATTATTCCTTCATCGCTTCGTTGCCGTCAGGATCAGTTTGCTGTTTATATATTTCTCGCATACTGCCAGCTGATTGCAGAAACCCTCAGTGAAGCCCTCAAAGGGGGCGGTTGGGGTTGGGAAAGAGGGGTAGCTTATCTATTTCAAACATGTTTAATGGGGGGAGGAGCGGCGGCGGCTTAATTGAGAGGTGGGCTTGTTTAATTTGGGCCTTTAGATATCAGTGGGAATTTTTATTAATGGTCCAATACACGCTCTTCAGAGTCAGGTAACAAAAATTGGCCGTAAAACAACTTCTGCTCTGGAGTCACAAAACACATTGTTAACAAGACCAGGGCGTAATAAAATTTGGCAAAATTAAGTCCCTAGTTCTAAGACAGGCTCGACAGGGTCAGGTTACCAAAAATTGCCGTAAAACAACTTCTGCTTTGGAGCCACAGAACAAATTGTAAACAACATCAGGGGGTGATAAAAAATTGGCGAAATTAAGCCCCTGGTTATAAACACGCTCGACAGAGTCAGGAAAGAAAAAATTGCCCTAAAACAACTTCTGCTCTGGAGTCACAGAACACATTTATTTAGAACAAAAACCTGTGGGTTTTGCTTAAAACAAAAACGAAAGCATAAGCCAAACAATAGCTCAGACATGAAAATGCAGCCATTTATAATAACACGTACCTTAAAAAACCAAACGGGAATGCATGCTAGTAAAGCAAATTCATGTACTGACTCTGCATGAATAAAACTAGGACAATCGGAAGCGCGAAGACTAAATAGCGTCAGACAAAATAGGCATATGAAACGAAAAAACTGAAATCCCCGCATGCAGAAATAAGAAATCGCGGACATACTGCGAGAACTGAACAAGAACTGACTGCTTTCCCGCTAGAGCCGCTCAATAAGATTGGAGAAAAACCGAAGCCATAACGAAAGAACCTCTCCCGGGATCCATCAGAAGAAAATGATCGATGAAACTAAGGAATTGCAACCTGAAAGATAAAGTGGTACTGTGAGGACAATATAGGAAAAGACGCGGCTCGAGGGATAGCAGCCTTACGCGCCGGTAATCCGACAGGGAATTAAAGACCGGTACTCTCGAGGGATTTTGCTCCCGGAGCATGCTCCAGGGGCACTTCCCGGGAGCAAAGCTCCTCCGTGTGTACATGTACCAACGATTTCATGGGTATACTTCATCCTCGGGAGCAGAATTTCCACCCCGCAAAATGCTCACGATATTTAACCGGTTTAATATTTGGGAGCATGCTCCCGGGGCAAATTGAGCGAACTTCGGGAGCAAAACCTCCCGTGTGTATCGGCCTTTAGACTCCCTTGTAAGACTGAAATCTCGGGAGCGGCTGCAGAAAAAGAATAACAAGGAAAGGATTGGAAAGAAATACAACCAAAGCATAGAATAAAACTTAGAAAATACTGCAAACAAAAGGGAAAAAGCGCAGAGAATACTGACCTTGAAAATACATGTGACGGACCGAATTAATGTCGAACACGTGGCAACCTATAAAATCTAGGTTGCAAAACAATTACCGCGAGTGTAGCCCAAGAAATTGAGGAAGATGGAAATAAAAACAGGAGGCAGAAAGGAAGCGGCGAACGCCAATGAAAACACAACGGGAAAGGCGAAAGGGTGAGGAGGGAAGGAGTTTGACGAGCACGTTTAATGAGGCCATGATGAGACCTGTGTGTCTTGTCTTGAAGATGATAATGAATGTATGGTGTAGGTGTCTTATATAGTCGCTTGGGCAAGACTGCTGTAAATAGTGTGCAGGAAGGCACTAAACTAGTATGCAGGAAGACACTGACTAGACACTTAATTAATCGGCAGGAAGGCACTTTTTCGAACCAATTTTCCCTAGGTTATAACAATGGGTGACGTCACAAACTCGACTCTTATGCATATCAATGATTTACCTCGACCTTACTCTACACTTACTCCACACCAACGAGGCTTAATTCTGACCCTCTATGACTGTTGAAATTTTTAGCACCGCAGTTGAATGGGTTGCCCGGCACAAATTGAAAATAGACCATATTATCCATCTGTTGGATGATTTCCTAATTGTTGCTCCAGACAGGCAGCTCTGTCAAGCTCAGCTGGATTTGTTTATTGATCTGTGCTCTTATGTTGGCATCCCTATAGCAACGGAAAAAACTTTTGGCTCTTTAACAACATTATCTTTTGCTGGAATTGAATTAGACTCTGTGCTAATGGAGGCTCGTTTGCCTCCTGATAAGCTTAATAAATGTTCCGCTCTGCTTTCGGAATTTTTACGTCGGAAGAAGGCCACCTTGAGGGAGGTGCAATCCTTAACCGGCCTATTAAATTTTGCTTGTTCTGTTATAGTACCAGGTAGAGCCTTTTTGCGTTGATTGATTGATCTAACAGTGGGTATTCAATCCCCACACCAACCCATCGTAACAAACTGGGACGAAATGTCCACACAATAACACGGGGAGCCAAAAACCGGAGAGAAACCCCGAATAAATAAAACGAAAAAGGTGTCCATTACAAATCTAAAAATTAAAGAAAGCAAAGCACAAAATGAAGGAAACAAGCGGTATTATCGCATGCGAAAACATGAAAAGGTGTCAAAATTCAAATAAGCAGTATATTCAAATGTAAAGACGCAAAAACGTGACAAATATTCAAAGCATGCGAATTGCTCTTAAGATAGCGCCTCGATAGCTACGATGTAACTGGTACTGACCAACAGAATTTAAATGAACGCCATCATTTAAATAAAAATCCTTACCGGGGGACGAAAAAGGGGTGTGCACCCAGCAAAAAACATTGGGAAGGTCTCCTAAAACGGCGTTCGTGTACTGATTCAAAGCGGTAGCGCTCGTGAGAAATGAAGTCTGGGACGCGGCACATGAGAAAACACGTGGGATAACATGACAAACGCCGACCACGCGGACAGCGAGATTATCCACCAAGAAACGAACAAAATCATCTATTTCTGAACCCACCACTTCAGGACCGACACGAGTTAAATCATTTGTCCCTATCTCCAGAATTATGATATCCGGAGACAACTGTTTGACCACGTGCAGATCAAACATGCGAAGTTTAGGCACTGTCCGACCTCCCACACCATGCATAAAAACCACAGCAGTACCCTTAAGGTTAAAATTTAGGTCTGCCCGCTGGTCAAAACCTGTTTCCAAGTCATGACACAGCCTACGAACGAAGGAATGGTCTAAGATAAGTACAAAGGGTGACGAACGCGCCATATTTTAGCTTACAAAACAGCGCGAGTAATACGTGCGGCACGGTGAAAAAACCGCAGAATTCTAACCGAAAGCGAAGGATAATCTCACCTTTCCTCAAAAGAGGCAGAGAGAACAAAGAAATATAAGAAAATAAGGAAAAACTTACCGAATAAAGACAGACAGCGTCGGATAAAAATGAAAATCGTCTTCACTCGATGAAAGTGTGAAAGAATGATCAGTAATCGATACTCGCCTCGATTTCATACAAGCTCAACTCCCTAGAGGGAAAATATGCTACAAATGTCCCATCCTAACCCATCTAATACGTCCCGGATGTTGTCACGCCAACTTTCTTTTCAGCGTCACACATTCCTAGAAAAGATATACTAAACAACAGTTCGGCAAAAGGCATAAAAATCCTATTTGCAAGCAAATATTCCATCTATGCTACTGTATTTTAAATTTATTTTTAATTTTAATGATACACCAGTGAGGAACACACGTACACTTCCAGTGAACATTTATTTTAATGATACACTAGTGAACAGCACACGTACACTTCCAGTGAACATTTATTTTAATGATACACTAGTGAGCAGCACACGAACACTTCCAGTGAACATTTATTTTAATGATACACTAGTGAGCAGCACACGTACACTTCCAGTGAACATTTATTTTAATGATGCACTACTGAACAGCACACGTACACTTCCAGTGAACATTTATTTTAATGATACGCTGGTGAACAGCACACGTACACTTCCAGTGAACATTTATTTTAATGATACACTAGTGAGCAACACACGTACACTTCCAGTGAACATTTATTTTAATGATACACTAGTGAACAGCACACGTACACTTCCAGTGAACATTTATTTTAATGATACGCTGGTGAGCAACACACGTACACTTCCAGTGAACACTTATTTTAATGATACACTAGTGAGCAGCACACGAACACTTCCAGTGAACATTTTCACTTGTGCATGGAAGAAGGAGAAACCATGTAAATTACAGTAAAATTCCCTGACGGTTTTCTGGCTTGTGTCGGCTGTGATGTAACTGCGTTCAAATGAGCTGTTCTCTTTCTGTAGCTTATTGATAGTCTTCATTGGGTCTTCATTGTCAGAGAACTAATTCGCTAACTGGTGAGTAATATTTTCATTTTGTATTCCGATGACCCTGATTATTAACTTGTTGCTGCGGAGCAACCGAAGGTAGCGAGCAGCAACATAATCAGGATTTAAAGGAAATATTTAAGGGGCGACGAATTCTCGAATTCATCACTTTTTACCACAATGCATTGCATTTAACCAGAGTGCATTGCGCCACGAACAACTCAAATAAAAACACGGGGAAGTTCGGTGGGTGAGAGAGTGCATCGTTCGCTGCTCAGACTTAGAGTTTTCTTTGTGGCAAATTTTCTACAGCACGGTTAGAGGTCTTACCAAATTTTAAGACACGCAGGAGTCTTTCAGATGAGTACGATGGTTGACTTGGGGATTGGATTTCAATTCAAGAGCCTTTTTTGACTCGTCCAGGTGTAAAACCTGACGAGAAGATGAGCATTCGCTCTTCGACTCCGCAACATGGGGGATATACAAATTCCAGCTTGCTAGAAGGTGATGTGAAAGTGAAAAAATGTCATGCAATGCTATTCTTAAGAAACTGTATGAGCCGAAAATGGATGTGATTTTGACCATTCGCTTCAAAATAACAAATCGAGATAACAAAACATATGTTTTGTGTCCTACTTTGCAGATGAGGACGTGTATATCGGCGTTTTGAAAAGCATAATTATGTTCTTTCATTCATTTATTGCCATGGAATATGCGTTTACATTGTTTTTGCAATGTCAATAGCTCCGTTAATGCGGCTGGCGATCATCTTGCCGGCGGAAGTTTCATGGAAAAGGAATAAAATAAAAGACTTTTCCTAACGACTACGTAGTCAGTCTCTGTGGTGTAGTGGTTAGTTGTAGTCGCGTCGAGTAGAAGGTGCTGGGTTCGGATCCTACTGAATTATTTATTCTCATTTCTTTTTTTTTCCGTTTTTTGTGTTGTTGTTCTCTATAAATATATAGCTAAATAACTGTTACTTAATAAAATGCAACAAACAGCAAGAAAAGTATTGTGTTTCCAGAGAAAATATCGTGCACCGTATCTTAAATATATGGATCAACGATCTGAATTTCTATTATTTCCTACAATTTACTGTGGGAAAACCAGAGTTGATAACCACTTGATCATTTTCTAAACAACGTTCCCACGAGTTCTTTCTATAGACTGATAGTAATTATTCTAGTACTTTCCAACATGTAAATAGGACAGTCAGTGTCATTTTTTATTCTTTTAAGTCTCACTGCCTAACTAATGCTAGTATCAACAGAATGTGCCGCAGCATTACTATCTTTTAGTATGTTTAAGATAAACAAATGAGTTTGTGAGCTCGATTTCCTCCGTTTCCCTGGTCCGGTCTTTGTTCCTCCCCGAAGGGTTTTTCGGGGAGCGGGGTGGGGGGGACGGTTATCTATCCTAATGAGTTTTGTTTTTGTCTTTTAACCTGCAATGAGACATGAGAAAATAATCTTAATGGTTCAATTCGGAAAGATATAGGACATTTGTCTGGTTTTCTAAGTCGAGCTATGGTTAACTCTTGAAACGTAAAAATGAAGGGGGGGGAATTGAGGTCAATCCCCGCGGTTTTTCTTTTTTTTAAATATTATCAAGTGTCTTTTCTCTGGGCTGCTCTCCATTTCAAAATCCATGAAAGCTCTTCTTTTATGTTTGAGACACATTTTGTATATGAATTTGGTGAAAAATAAAATGACAAGCGAGGTGTGGTTCTACAAGCTTATAAAAAAAGAATGAAAGTTCTAATTTTAAAGCTTATGGGAAGTCGGGTGGGCAGTACAGTACCCATATTTATTTATTTTCTTTCATATTTTACAGTTTCCTATGAAGTTCGTTAGTAAACGTTCCTTTAACAAGCCAAAACTACACTTTCTGGACGGCGGTTTACAACTGGTAGTCTTAATGCCATAAGTCTTAGTCTAAGTCTTAGTTAATACAGAAGTGTAGTTGTAATGTTTCTTTTACAGCTTGTCTCACTCCTGTGATCTTCCAGCAGTACAGCAACGGATTTAACGACGAGTTTAAACACACTATAGTAGCTCTAAATTGCAAAGCAAGGTAAGTAGATAAAGACATTCCCCTTTGAATTGTTAAAGCTACGGCTATACCGTACGGAAGATAACAAATAACCAATGTTACCTGCACCCACAGTGCACTGTACACTGCCTTTCTGTATCGAGCTTTATTCAGTGTATTTACTTCGCTCGATTGAGGAACATGGTTCTGACCATGAATTTGGTTATGACGCAGAGACATGAAAATTTTTGTGTAGGCACAGATTGTAGTAACTAACCAAAAAGGTGCGCCAATATATTGGTACAAAGAATCTATAAGAGGTTTCAGAAAGGAGATAGATGAACCGACAATAGACACGATCCAACCACCAATAGCAACTAAACGCGTTCTTTTCAAAGTTACAACTTGTCTGTATCTGAGACCCAGTAGCAAAGCGAGAAGTCTGTCTACGCTTATTGCAGTCAATGTTACCAACGACACTGAACACAAAGTAACACTTGGGGTATATGCTGTCAAATATGTGTAATAGCAAATATCCCATCTTTTGTTCACCACAGATGTCCAATGAGCAACATTCAGGGGCTCGACAATGATACCAACACAAAGATCAGTTATCGCTAGGCTACAATACAGGAGTTTGGATGGCGGATGAATTGATGTGTCCTTGTAAAGGGCAACTAAGATCAGAGCGTTCCCTAAAGATGCTGTAATGGACAAACAAGTGTTAACGACAGAGAGAAAAATGAGCTCGCTATGTACCTCTCCAGTAAGTTCCGCAGAGCACAAACGTTCTGCAACTGTTTGCAGGTTTTCACCTCCGGTAAAATTTTCCATTTCCACGACTTTTCTGCGATGCGGCTACAGTCAACTGAACTCTTTTTTAATATATCCGTCCTCCTTACATGACTGCTACATGCACCTTCTCAGCAAACAATTAAATATTTGCTCTTTATTTTCAGTTTATTAAACGATGAAATTTGACAATGTTGGTGTTGCCTTTGTGTTGCCGTGCGATTAGCGAGCAAATAAGCACAATTGCCTGGCTCTTAGAAAACGAGTTAAACTGTTAGTAATAAAAGTCTATTAACCAAGTCTTGATCGATATTTCTCAGTGTTAAGCATATATTCAAATTGAGTAAAAAACGGTTTTCGTCAATTGCTAGAAGTTAAACTGACGCGCTCTCAATGTCATCGCAGGCAGTGAGGTCTCAGTAACAATCTCCAAATGTTCAAATAATGGGCTCGAAAGTCTGGACCATTTACGAGGTGGGAATTAAAGAAAATAAAACGTTCGTTTGAGCTTAGGAAATTAGAATGTAACCTGTTTTTATCATATAAAAATCATGAAAAAAAATTGAATTCGAGGATTAGCTGAGAGCAATCAGCAGTTTTAGCAAACATAGTGAGAGAAAGAACGAGAAAATTTTGCTAACGGAGGTGTTAAGTTTGTGAGCCGAACATATGATATGCAGTGCCGTAAACTGCTGCTTAAAAGCCCTGGGATTATACATCTTTGCAAGGGTTTTTAGAAGGGCTCTTGATAAATTAAACGGAGGGGCTTAAATCCGAGAGGGATTATAACGGAATTGGAAAAAGCTGTTCGAAACAAGCTAACGCAGTGCTGATTTAAATATGTTTTGCAGTTACGGGTAAAAGCTTCAAAATATCATAATAAATCATTTTCATTTCAATGCAAGTGAGAGAGGATCGAGTTTATATTGGCGAGCCTGTTACTGGTGGGGCTTATGTTAAAGTGTTTCTGTATTTTGTAGCTTCAAATTGCTTGTGCCGTTTTTCTTCAACTCTAACTGACGTTCACATGGATACCAGCACTAAATTGGCCACATTTTCTTTAGAAGTGGAAGTCTTAACCGAGTATATCCCCAAACATGTCAAACTTTGTGGGCTATAAATTTAACATTTTGAGCGGTTTATTTGCAATTGCTTAAATTGCCATTTCACTACGTCAAGAATATATATTCATTTAAATTGTTTTTTAAATTTATTTCCCCCGTTCACATCGTCTCCCGGCGCGTCCAATTCGGATCTGTTGCATGAAAGGTAAAATATTTAGAATTAAAAACGCCATGGTGACGTTCATTTCGATTGAGTATAGTGAACCCAAAATATTATCATGGAACTTGCTCCATCATTCACCATCATACTTAGCTATCCTCTTTTGTCTTAGAGAAAAATTAGCTGCCATGTACTTCTCCTCGACTCTCCAGTGAATTTTGCAGAGCAATTCAGTTGTCTAATTGTTTGATAGTTTGTCATTACCATGACTTTTCTCCGAAGCAACTACGTTCAAGAGAACCTTTTTTTAATATATCTGTTTTCCTTATGTGATAGCTTCATCATGTCAAACACAAAGTTAGATATGTAGGCTGTATTTTCATTTTATTAAACGACAGAGTTATTGGCAATCTTGTTGCTGCTGTGCAATTGGCAAAACAAATAGCACAATTGTCTTGTTTTTAGAAAACGAGCTAAACGTCATGTTCAATGATACAAAGTTTATTAACCGATTCTTGATCGATACATCTGTAGAACAAAGATTCAAATTGATTAAAAAAGGCCGAGTTTAATCAATTGCCAGAGGTTTAACTGACGCGCTCATATAGGGTCAGTAAATAATTAATGTACTACTAATTGTCAGCTAAATTATGTCTGGGTCAGTTTGTACCATACTTACGAGATGAGAATTAAAGAGAAAAATGCTTTACGTTCGTTTTTGCTGCTACTATTTCTCTTTTTAAATCCAGGTTAAAAACATTTCTTCTTAGTTGATTAACTGTTTGTAAATAATACTTGTTTTTTTGCTGCATTTTGTCTGTTTTGTTTCGCTTGCTTTTTATCCTAATTATATTTCAGTATGATTTTGCCGTTTATTTATTCATTATGTTTAGTCTTAGTTTAGGGAGGGAGCTCATATAATAAGCCCCAAGGTTTCCATTTGAGCTTCCTCGCCAGAAAAATTTTGTTTAATTCTTTTACTTACAATTTACTTCTCTTTAGTCTTTAAATAACATTTTTGTAATATATTGAATGTCTGTATGCATATGTATTTTTTTTTCTGGGAAAAAATACATTGAAACTAAACTGAAACTGAAACAGTTTTAGAGCTGAGGGAATTATTTGAATGCAACCTGTTTTTCATCATAATAATAGACATGAAAAAAAATTCTTAAATATTGCCTGAGAGCAATGCAGTTTTATTAAACACACGGCAAAAACGAGGAAATATAATGCAAAAACAAGGTAATAAAATGTAAATAATATATATCACAGAATTGAGTCCACTGATGAAAAGTCGCCGGCGAGCTTCACATCTCGGTAGATTTACTTTGTTGAATAAGGGCCGCCGAGCTACACAACTCGGTAGATTTACTCTGTGGCACTACGGGCGCCTAGCTACACAACTCAGTAGATTTACTTTGTGGCACAACGGACGCCGGGCTAAACAACCCGATTTGATGCATGCCGGTTTTTCTTGCTTCACGACGATGTAAGTCGTGTTCCTTTTTGGACTGGAATTTCAGGCGCCTCCATCATCCTTGAAGCTGACCGAGGTCTCTTTTGATACCGTTAAGATTTTGGGATTTAAACTTAGTTAAAATTTGCTCCCATGCCTTTGTCTTTTTTGCCAACGTTTTGTTCTGTCATAGCCTTTACTTTCCACTTCTGGAAAGTCTCTACCCAATTCGGCCAATAAAAGTTTTTCTTGTTCGTTGAAATTTGTTGTGCGACTTGGTTTAGAAGCCATATTGCAGAGACACAACCACTATCTGGAAATGTGCATACGAAATAACTCCGCAGACAATGCATTTCCTCGTGAGACACGGTTTAGCCATTGACTTGAAAGGACACAGTTCAGTCGTGTTTTAATAATGTGTTTTATTATTCATTCAAAATACCGTAAAATTCCGAAAATAAGCCCCTCCATGTATAAGCTCCTCCAAATATAAGCCCCCAAACCGGTAACGCAAAAAACCCTCCGTTAAATTGCCCCTCCAAATATAAGACCCCCGGGGGATTGTACTTGGAAAATTGTCCTCAAATACAAAGTAAAACAAAGCAAAAACGGTAAATTTACTTCCAACTGTATGGCTAGCCCAATCGATTTTGAAAAGCAAATTTCCCTCCGTAGATAAGCCCCTCCGAATATAAGACCCTCCAAAATTAAGCCCCTCAAAAAGGGCCTTTGAAAAATATAAACCTCGGGGCTTATTTTCGGAATTTCATAACAGGCCAGAGCCCCGATTTTAGGTACTAGGCGACTTTGAAAGACGCGTGCTTCACATATTTGTGGCGGATTAGAGTGCCGGCTTGGTTAGAGGCCTTTTGTTTAAAACATGGCGGGATACTCGCAGCTTAAGGCAAGCATGTGCCTTGTAGCTGTCAACATAATGCTTTTTAATTACATTCTGTCATAATTAACAAAACCCGATCCATGTTTGATTGAAAGTAATTGTACAAATCTGGTACCAGTCAAACCGCTTTTAAAAAACAAAACAACAAAACTAGTTTATGGTTATTGCTCATTAATTTCACTTATCAAAACAAATATTTACTTTATCAGTTTTCCCGTTTCTTTCAAAACATTCTTCATTTCCGGGCGTTTCACTGTAGTCAATGAAAGACACGTTTTATCGGTCTTCTTTTACGCGGGAATATCAAAATTTCCATCTTTCAAAACGCGATGAACCAAAACTTGCAGGGTACCAAAGCGCCAAAGGCGCACGATGCAGTCCCGGTGTTTTGTGAGCACCCGTTAAGAATATTGAACGCCAAAACTATCAAGTTTTGGTACAGCGAGAGGCAGCTAGTTTCTGTATCCAAAGGTTAGTGCATGGACAGGCTATCGAAAGAAAATAAAAGGGATGCTTGCCCAATGGTTAGTAGGCCTAACTACGCAAATAAATGTCTCATTGCATCCTTGTCTGCGAGGTTAGTACTAAATTTACACTCTAGAATACATTACACAACTCAATCCGCAACACTTTGCAAGTAGAATTGGCGATCAGTGTGGGCAATTTATATTTCTAAGGGACGTCCGTCGCACAAAGGCTTAACGCGGGGGGGGGGATTTAGTCAATGACTGACATAAGAGTTTCCTCACAATCAACCCAGTTAGAGTGCGATAATGTGCGCGTGAACTTTGCCTACAACTGGCAATAAGCTGAATAAACCGGAAGCTGAACACCATGAATAAGTTACTAAATTATATCGCTCAGGTTTTTTTTACCGGAGGGGTTTTTCGTTCATTCTGTTGCGCAGTTTGGCAGTGATATACCGAGCATCGGACAGGTAACGCGCCGAAGCCACCATTTTACTCTTCTTCTACCAAACAGTTTTCCTGCAATGGTGTTAGTACTGGTCCCGTTGCCGAAACCTTGCACGAGCAAGATACGGTAATCGAGAGTCGAGAATTGAGAATCGATATTGTACTCGGGACAAGAAAAGGTCGCCGTCCAAGGAACAACTGATGCAATGCAAGAGCTTCAAGCTCCTGAGAATCGCCGATTCTGGATTACAAGCAGTGAAGAAAGTCCTGAGAAGCGTCCAAATTATAAAAGAACTTTGGAGGCCAGTCAGCCACGGTGATTGTCGCACCACGCAAAAACTAGAATAAATTTGTTAGCCTGGTCTTGTCTTTGCCACAAATCACGTAAAACTATAAAGAAGGTACCACTATGAACTCTGGTAAATGAAAATTCAATAATACTATGGTTGACGACTGACAGTTTAAAAGAGAGACAACCCTCACCTCAGAATCTTGGGCGCGCCGCCTGTAAGCTCTGAGGGAGAGGGGAGCCCCATTATTTGGCCTATTTCAAAAAAAAATTGACACTACAAAAATAACCTACAATTATAATTTCAAAAGGGAGACTACCATCACCTCAGAAACTTGGGCGCGCCGCCTGTAAGCTCTGAGGGAGAGGGTAGCCCCATAATTAATTTAGCCTATTTCAAAAATAAATGACACTACAAAAATTACCTACAATAATAATTTGGATAAATGACCAACATTTCAAAAGAGAGACTACCATCACCTCAGAATCTTGGGCGCGCCGCCTGTAAGCTCTCAGGGAGAGGGAAGCCCCATAATTTGGCCTATTTCAGAAACAAATGACAATACAAAAATAACCTACTATAATAATTTGGATAATGACCGACATTTCAAAAGAGAGACTACCATCACCTCAGAAACTTGAGCGTGCCGCCTGTAAGCTCTAAGGGAGAGGGAAGCCCCATAATTTGGCTTATTTCAGAAACAAATGACAATACAAAGATGACCTACAATAATAATTTGGATAATGACCGACATTTCAAAAGAGAGACTACCATCACCTCAGAATCTTGGGCGCGCCGCCTGTAAGCTCTGAGGGAGAGGGTAGCGCCATAATTTGGCCTACTTCGAAACAATTGACAGTACAAAGATGACCTACAATAATAATTTGGATAATGACATAATTTGGCCTATTTCAGAAACAAATGACAGTACAAAGATGACCTACAATAATAATTTGGATAATTACCGACATTTCAAAAGAGAGACTACCATCACCTCAGAATCTTGGGCGCGCCGCCTGTAAGCTCTGAGGGAGAGGGTAGCGCCATAATTTGGCCTACTTCGAAACAAATGACAGTACAAAGATGACCTACAATGATAATTTGGATAATGATCGACATTTCAAAAGAGAGACTACCATCACCTCAGAATCTTGGGCGCGCCGCCTGTAAGCTCTGAGGGAGAGGGTAGCCCCATAATTTGGCCTATTTCGAAACAAATGACAGTACAAAGATGACCTACAATAATAACTTGGATAATGACCGACATTTCAAAAGAGAGACTACCTTCACCTCAGAATCTTGAGCGCGCCGCCTGTAAGCTCTTAGGGAGAGGGTAGCCCCATAATTAATTTGGCCTATTTCAAAAATAAATGACACTACAAAAATTACCTACAATAATAATTTGGATAAATGACCGACATTTTAAAAGAGAGACTACCATCACCTCAGAATCTTGGGCGCGCCGCCTGTAAGCTCTGAGGAAGAGGGTAGGCCCATAATTTGGCCTATTTCGAAACAAATGACAGTACAAAGATGACCTACAATAATAATTTGGATAATGACCGACATTTCAAAAGAGAGACTACCATCACCTCAGAATCTTGGGCGCGCCGCCTGTAAGCTCTGAGGGAGAGGGTAGCCCCATAATTTGGCCTATTTCAGAAACAAATGACACCAGAAAAATCACCTACAAACATTATTTGGATTATGACGGACATTTCAAAAGACAGACTACCTTCACCTCAAAATCTTGGGCGCGCCGCCTGTAAGCTCTGAGGGAGAGGGTAGCCCTATAATTTGGCCTATTAAGTAAAAAACAAGTAACAATACAAAGGTAACCTGTAATAATAATTTTTGAATTATGATTGACATTTCAAGGAGGCTAAAATGACTGATATAGAAACCATACTGTATCTGTGGCGTTGATTATACAGATAGCCCAAGCGAACGCGAAGATGTTGAAGTGGAAGCTAGAATATCTGGAGTAATCCAGCGTCTTGGGCTCCTGCCAGCGAATAAGATTTTGGCGGGATTTCGACAGTGCTTGGCGGGATTTTTGGAGAGTGATTTGTCACTGGAGGCACACCGACGCTTACATCGTCTTAAGCCAGAGAAAAAAGACTTGAATCCTTCGCCGTTTGATCAAAAAGGTCGTCCATTGAATCAGATAATCGGTCTTGCTGTTCCTCAAGGAGATGTGAAGTAGAGCTCGAGCTCTCGCATTCGTTTACACCGGCGACTATAAAATGTGCATTGTTGACGGCTTTTCTCAAACGTTCAAATAGAGAAGATTTAAAAATTTCTTTGGTCAGGGTCTTTTCCACGCAGAGTTCCTTCCAAACCGGAGAAAGATGTGCCAGCAGAGAGTGTATTCCTACTTGTGGCTCCACAGTAAAAACTTGATACGCCGACTCGCCGTTTTCGCTTCGAAGGTCACCAATGTTGACACGGCATACTACTCTTGAAAGAAGTTAAATAAGCCAAGGAAGCACTACTTTCTTAAAAGAGAGCACTTGAAAAGCCACTGAAAGCGTATCAAGCCTATTTGAATCCAAATGCGGCGAGAAAACTGTAGTTATCAATTGCGAAGCCAGCCGTGAAGATCGACTTCGACCGTGAAATGAATTTATAATCCCAAATAGTCTGATCAAATTTCGCGTTTCCTTGAGATGTCTGGTTCATTTAATCAGAAGTACAAAGTTCCTTGACAGGCAACATGTCCGGCGCTCTCCAAAGGTGTCTGGAGGAATGCTTAAAACTAATTACGAAAGTAACGCTTGTCTGTTATTGGAAACCGATCTGCGGTGGTTGCTGTGGAGATTAGGCCTCCTCCTGCGCGCATTAAAATCGGGGCTCTGGCCTGTTATGACTTTGTTTCCCCGATTCTGATTGGCTAAAAGCACACGCATAATTCACCATAACCAGTTAGTGATGGCCAAATTTGGAAGAATTTTGTGTTTGACGAGGAAATGACGTCAAAAATGCAGCGTTCTTGCAGGTTAATGCACCGTTACCGAGAAGACCTGGGGACGAGGTTGAGTTGTTTTGGTTGTGAAAACAAAAAATGGCGGACATTTCACTCGTTTCAAGAGTAAGAACTAGGCGAAGTTATAGCTAAAAACATGGCAAGAACACAACTGGAAGGGCGACATATGCTATTTGGAGAATATTTGCGGAGTTGAAAAACCCTAAACGTGCACTGTCGAAGGTGAACTTAACATCGGTGGAGGTAAACATGTTTTAGCTTTTTTTTTTAAATGAATTTTTAATGAATAATAAAACAATTATTGAATTCGGCTTTCGTATCATACGACGAATTATGGAGATCTCAGAGGGTGTTATCCGCCGATAACATAATTCTTCATAAGATACTCAGCCTCATTCATTAATTGTTAATTAAGCATCGTTTAGCCGTTGTTTATCGAGACAACGCCTAAGCCGCGGCTCAGCCCTAAACACTGGTTAACTTAGTCTTCGTTTAAATAATCGGCTCTCTGAGTCTCACTGCTTACGCATGCGACAGTAATAAAAGACAATCAGGTCCTTTGTCACTTGACAGTAAAACCCAAGGTAAATGTCAGTTGTTGGTTAAATTTTAGGCAATCACGTGTTCCCAAAGACCACTTAACAAGAAGTTTGGGCAACAAGTTTATTGAGTCCGATTCGACAACAAGTAGACCGAGTAGCGAATGACGTCGTAACTGAATCAAAAGACTCCCCGCGGGAGGGAGGACTGGGTATTGTGCTTGCTCTTCGAATTGAGCTTTTGACGAACTGATTCGTGCAGCGAGCCTTCAGATAAACCTTTCATGACGTCACTTATGATGACGCGTAATTCGTTAACCAAAATCAATTAATGTAATTATTGAAGGAATTTTTTTTGTCAGTTGATATCTTGGCTATTCGTTAGTTGTCAGTTAACCCATCCAGACCTCCTGAAAACAGATTCACCCTGAAGTCACGCTGAAGGGCATCTTTTTAGTTCTACAGTTTACACTGGGGTGCCGTCAAGCAACTCCGCCAAGTTTTGTGGAACAAGATGCAACTACTGCGGAGAAAGCAATTATAAGACTGCTTCTGAGAATTTTTGGGCGTGAAACGTGTTTCTTTTCCAAAGCTAAGTGAGGAGGGTGGAGTTCAATGTGGGGTGTGGGAAACGAGTGTAGAACAGCGAGTGAAGCTTAAGGATAATGGGTAGACCTCTGAACTTAAAAATTTCTGAATATGAGATTGCGAGCGGCTGGTGACGAGGCAGACGCAGAGTGATTATAAAACTTTGTAAATAGACAAAAAGTCGACACGGAGATATAGAGGTTCCCCAATGGGTTTTTCGGGATCCGTGCGGTTTCGCTGCATTGCGTATGTATTCTAAAATTTCCGAGAGTGAATCTGTTTCTGTAGGGGCATGAACTTGCTAATTCGTTTCTTTTGTTCAGAGTACATAAGTGTTTTTTACAAATGATAAAAATTTTTTCTTGGAGGCAAAGATTACAATTTTTGTTAGCCTTGTCATATGGTTTACAATTACTGAGTACTTTCCGCTGCACGTGAAAGGATCTGTTGGCATCTTTGAGGGTCCACACCTGTTTGAACAGTTCCCTCTCGTTTCTTCTGTTCGCGTGTCGGAAGGATGTCAAGGGATTTTTGTACTGTTCTTTGAAGTCAGTGGCTACTGAGTCCAATGTATGATTCTGTTGTTGTCCCAGTCGTTACAGTCGCTTGGTAAATCACGTTTTGTCTGAGGCAATTACCGTCAAGAAACCGGAAGGCGCTCTTGAAGGTAATTGCCTGCAACCGACTAACTTCAAAGAACGGTGCAGAAATCACTTGACATCATTAAAATTGTGACTCGTTGAAATACTGCTAGGGACCACTACTGACTTACTGCCCGGCGTCAGATAAAGGCTTTTAATCGGCCTTTTTAATGATTTTTCATTGTTTTAAATTGCCAAGTAGTAGAGTGAGTTGATTTTTTTGCTAAACCAAGTTCAAAAATCCAGGTAAAACTATATATTATAATATATTATGTATATATACTTTCCCCATTTACAGCAACTTGTACATAGCACCTCTATCTGTTTTTCGATTAGTTTGCAGCTTGTTGACTGTTGTTCTTCTTCTCTTTAATAAAGTACACTGAATTACGTTGTAAGCAATCCAAAATTCGAGGTAAAACTTTCTCAGTTTGCCGGACAGCTACCGATGGCTAAGATTGATGCACTTACCTATAATAATTATTCAAATTAAAGTTTAATTACAAATAAAGTGAAAACAACGAAAGACTACCATTTCTCCCGGAAGATACGTTTTTATTATGATTCACCAAACAATCAATTGGCCAAATCAACGTGTTCCTGTTTTTCTGTGTGACGCGCAATGCAAATTACCAAGCTCAGCCAAACTTTCAAATCGAAGCAGTTTTCTCGCCGCTTTTTTCCCGAAATATGCTGTCTTGTCATGCGGGCCTGTAGGAGGCGAATTTGAAAGTGAGAGGGGACAAAAGTTAGCAGTGCTGGTGGCGTACTCAACTGTTATATGAACCCAAGGCCCATTTTTGTAAAAGTGGGGGTTTCGTTCCCCTAGGGCCGTTGTGATGTTCCATCCTTTAAGCACTGTATATGAGTCTTCTTTAGCTCTTAGCTGAGAAAGTACTTCGCTTTTGCTACTAATTCCTGCAATAATTCGACCTCGCAACAGACTGGATAAAACAATTGATACGATGGCAATTAATAGCAGTAGGTAATAGTTAGTCATCTGAGCAATCCCCCGAGTGGGACTGATGACAGCGCCTTCTCCTCCACTGATATCACGTTACCATGTGGGTATTCTTGGTTTGCAACCACGTGACAAGGTGGCAATGTTGGGGGTAGGTACAATAGAATTGTTTTCTCGAAGAATTTACATGAAAATAGAGGTTACTTCCCAGACAAGAGAAATGCTTTTGTTCTTGACGACCAAGATGGCCGCTGTGACGTCACCTGCAAACCAGAAGTATAAGGGTTCACTTTTCTTTATATCTAAAAACATACAGGAACATAAGCCTTCTATGCTCGCAAACTGTTAATGTGTATTTATTGGCCATAAAATTTAAATTACATCATGTACTGGCCCTCATTATCCCACAATAAACATTGTTCGATTTTGAAAAAGCATTCGGAAAAGTAATATTTTTGCGCCCAGATTAGTTTTACCAAACTGAACTTATGACGTTTGTTAAACTTGATTATACTATGAACATAGTGGCTTTTATGGTTATCATCAGGTGTCATTTATGCAGTGTATTTTCATTACCAGAGAACTAATTAGCTAACTGACTAGTTTTAGTGATATTTTCATTTTGTTTTATGATTATTAAACTTGTTAACATAAACAAATGATTTTGTTTGTGTCTTTACAATCTGCAATGAAACAGAAAACAATCTTAAAGGTGCAATTCGGACTAGGACATTTGTCTGGCCTTCTTATATATATTTTCTTATCAAGTTCGTTAGTAAATGTTCTTAGTCTAAGTCTTAATTCAGGTACAGAAGTGTAGTTTTTGTAATGTTTCTTTTACAGCTTGTCTCACTTCTGTGATCTTCCAGCAGTACAGAAACGGGTTTAACGACGAGTTTAAAAGCACTAAAGTAGCTGTAAATTGCAAAGCAAGGTAAGTAGATAAACGTATCCCCCTTTGAGGTGTTAAAGCTGCAGCTATACCGTACGGCAGATAACAAATAACCAATGTTACCTGCACCCACAGTGCACTGTATACTGCCTTTCTGTATCGAGCTTTATTCAGTGTATTTGCTTGGCTCGATTGCCCTTGAACAATATGGTTCTGACCATGAATTTGGTTATGACGCAGAGACATGAAAATTTTTATGTAGGCACAGATTGTAGTAACTAAACAAAAAGCTATAACAATATATTGGTACAATAAACCTATAAGAGGATTCAGAAAGGAGGTAGATGCAGCGACAACGGACACAATCCAACCACCAATAGCGATCAAACGTGTTCTTTTCAAAGTTACGACTTGTCTGTATCTGAGACCCAGTAGCAAAGCAAGAAGTCTGTCCACGCTTATTGTGGTCATTGTTATCAACGACACTGAACACAAAGTAACACCTAGGAAATATGTTATCAAATCTGCGTAATAGCAAATATCCCATCTTCCGTTCACCACAGATATCCAATATGCAACCAGTAGAGGCTCCGCAATGATACCAACACAAAGATCAGTTATCGCTAGGTTACGATACAGGAGTTTGGATGACGGATGAATTGATGTGTCCTTACGAAGGGCAACAGGATCAGAGTATTCCCCAAAAATGCTGTAATTGACAAAAAAGTGTTAATGACAGAGAGAAAAACGAGCTCGCCATGTACCTCTCCAGTAAATTCCTCAGAGCAGTCAAGTTCTGCAATTGTTTGCAGGTTTTCACCTCCAGTCATTTCCATGACTTTTCTTCGATGCGGCTACAGTCAACTGAACTCTTTTTTAATATATCTGTCTTCCTTATATGACTGCTCCGTGCACCCTGTCAGCAAACAGTTAAATATTTGCGCTGTATTTTCAGTTTATTAAACGATGGAATTCGACAATCTTGGTGTTGCCTTTGTGTTGCCATGCGATTAGCGAGCAAATAGCACAGTTGCCTGGCTCTTAGAAAACGAGTTAAATTGCTAGAAGTTAAACTGACGCGCTCTCAATGTCATCGCAGGCAGTGAGGTCTCAGTAACAATCTCCAAATGTTCAAATAATGGGCTCGAAAGTCTGGACCATTTACGAGGTGGGAATTAAAGAAAATAAAACGTTCGTTTGAGCTTAGGAAATTAGAATGTAACCTGTTTTTATCATATAAAAATCATGAAAAAAAATTGAATTCGAGGATTAGCTGAGAGCAATCAGCAGTTTTAGCAAACATAGTGAGAGAAAGAACGAGAAAATTTTGCTAACGGAGGTGTTAAGTTTGTGAGCCGAACATATGATATGCAGTGCCGTAAACTGCCGCTTAAAAGCCCTGGGATTATACATCTTTGCAAGGGTTTTTAGAAGGGCTCTTGATAAAATAAACGGAGGGGCTTAAATCCGAGGGGGATTATAACGGAATTGGAAAAAGCTGTTCGAAACAAGCTAACGCAGTGCTGATTTAAATATGTTTTGCAGTTACGGGTAAAAGCTTCAAAATATCATAATAAATCATTTTCATTTCAATGCAAGTGAGAGGGGATCGAGTTTATATTGGCGAGCCTGTTACTGGTGGGGCTTATGTTAAAGTCTTTCTGTATTTTGTAGCTTCAAATTGCTTGTGCCGTTTTTCTTCAACTCTAACTGACGTTTACATGGATACCAGCACTAAATTGGCTACATTTTCTTTAGAAGTGGAAGTCTTAACCGAGTATATCCCCAAACATGTCAAACTTTGTGGGCTATAAATTTAACATTTTGAGCGGTTTATTTGCAATTGCTTAAATTGCCATTTCACTACGTCAAGAATATATATTCTTTTAAATTGTTTTTTAAATTTATTTCCCCCGTTCACATCGTCTCCCGGCGCGTCCAATTCGGATCTGTTGCATGAAAGGTAAAATATTTAGAATTAAAAACGCCATGGTGACGTTCATTTCGATTGAGTATAGTGAACCCAAAATATTATCATGGAACTTGCTCCATCATTCACCATCATACTTAGCTATCCTCTTTTGTCTTAGAGAAAAATTAGCTGCCATGTACTTCTCCTCGACTCTCCAGTGAATTTTGCAGAGCAATTCAGTTGTCTAATTGTTTGATAGTTTGTCATTACCATGACTTTTCTCCGAAGCAACTACGTTCAAGAGAACCTTTTTTTAATATATCTGTTTTCCTTATGTGATAGCTTCATCATGTCAAACACAAAGTTAGATATGTAGGCTGTATTTTCATTTTATTAAACGACAGAGTTATTGGCAATCTTGTTGCTGCTGTGCAATTGGCAAAACAAATAGCACAATTGTCTTGTTTTTAGAAAACGAGCTAAACGTCATGTTCAATGATACAAAGTTTATTAACCGATTCTTGATCGATACATCTGTAGAACAAAGATTCAAATTGATTAAAAAAGGCCGAGTTTAATCAATTGCCAGAGGTTTAACTGACGCGCTCATATAGGGTCAGTAAATAATTAATGTACTACTAATTGTCAGCTAAATTATGTCTGGGTCAGTTTGTACCATACTTACGAGATGAGAATTAAAGAGAAAAATGCTTTACGTTCGTTTTTGCTGCTACTATTTCTCTTTTTAAATCCAGGTTAAAAAAACATTTCTTCTTAGTTGATTAACTGTTTGTAAATAATACTTGCTTTTTTGCTGCATTTTGTCTGTTTTGTTTCGCTTGCTTTTTATCCTAATTATATTTCAGTATGATTTTGCCGTTTATTTATTCATTATGTTTAGTCTTAGTTTAGGGAGGGAGCTCATATAATAAGCCCCAAGGTTTCCATTTGAGCTTCCTCGCCAGAAAAAATTTTGTTTAATTCTTTTTACTTACAATTTACTTCTCTTTAGTCTTTAAATAACATTTTTGTAATATATTGAATGTCTGTATGCATATGTATTTTTTTTCTGGGAAAAAATACATTGAAACTAAACTGAAACTGAAACAGTTTTAGAGCTGAGGGAATTATTTGAATGCAACCTGTTTTTCATCATAATAATAGACATGAAAAAAATTCTTAAATATTGCCTGAGAGCAATGCAGTTTTATTAAACACACGGCAAAAACGAGGAAATATAATGCAAAAACAAGGTAATAAAATGTAAATAATATATATCACAGAATTGAGTCCACTGATGAAAAGTCGCCGGCGAGCTTCACATCTCGGTAGATTTACTTTGTTGAATAAGGGCCGCCGAGCTACACAACTCGGTAGATTTACTCTGTGGCACTACGGGCGCCTAGCTACACAACTCAGTAGATTTACTTTGTGGCACGACGGACGCCGGGCTAAACAACCCGATTTGATGCATGCCGGTTTTTCTTGCTTCACGACGATGTAAATCGTGTTCCTTTTTGGACTGGAATTTCAGGCGCCTCCATCCATAGGCGTACGGGCAATTTTTTGCCAGGGGGGGCGTTAAGCCATTTGCCCAAAAAATTCTCCCAAGTTGCCCAAATTTTTACGAAACAGTAGACAAGAAACGAAGGCGATACGATGCAATAACGTAGGCCGTACTGGCATATAAAGGTCAATACCTCCCAATTTTGAGAATAACTACGTCGCCATAGACAAACATTTGGAAAAACTGCTACCATAGTTTTATTAGATGAAGATGAAAATTTATCATGAGCAGGGTTTTAATGACATCGGAATTGTCATAGCAACGAAATGAAGCCATTGTCTATTTTACTTGCAGCAATATTTCTCGGCAGTGGGAACTATTCCTACAAAATTGTTCTTTTTTCTCCAATAGTCGCCTCGATGTTCGTGAAGTTAAAACGGAATCTATAGGAGCGTTATTGGGATATTTTGGGATGAAGGTTTTATCATTATAAATATGGGGAAAAAAATCTTGATGTTTGGCTGTTATTTGTAGAAAACGAAGCTCTTTTGCCATGCAATTTCACCTCATAGTAGCTTCAATCTTTTTAAAAACGTGTGTAAAAGATATGATCATGGATATGGCTCCGGCCGATTGCTAGAGAGAAGGATTTCATTAGTATGTATCGAGGGGCTCTTGTTAGCGGTTTTGTAAACATTTCGGTCTACTTTAATAAATTATTGCTTGATAGATTTTTTAAAAAAATTAATATTCTTCTCGTAATTCGAGCGGATTACTAGTCAGCCACTTCTTCATTTTCAGACCCACTGTTGCTGAGATGATTCTAGAAAGATATCAATCAATTCACAACTGGAAAGAGCCCATTCCAGTCAGTGCAGTGCAGTACAGTGCTCACCAATAAAAAACTATAAATATGTAAATCAACAAATGATACCCTTCCCTATAACCAGAAACTCATCACGCGCTAGGCAACCACTGTGAGTGTCTCGAGAGAATGTAACTGGATTATTACGCTGACTTCAGGATTTTTTCAGATTAAAATAGAAAATATTTGTCTCTTTAGAGTAATAAAAAAACATGGAAACGTCTTTAAAAACTGGCTTTGCCCAAATTTTCTCTTGCTGCCAAAAAAATCTGAGTCGCCCAAAATTTGGGGGGGCTGCAGCCCCCCTCGCCCCCCCGGCCCGTACGCCTATGCCTCCATCATCCTTGAAGCTGACCGAGGTCTCTTTTGATACCGTTAAGATTTTGGGATTTAAACTTAGTTAAAATTTGCTCCCATGCCTTTGTCTTTTTTGCCAACGTTTTGTTCTGTCATAGCCTTTACTTTCCACTTCTGGAAAGTCTCTACCCAATTCGGCCAATAAAAGTTTTTCTTGTTCGTTGAAATTTGTTGTGCGACTTGGTTTAGAAGCCATATTGCAGAGACACAACCACTATCTGGAAATGTGCATACGAAATAACTCCGCAGACAATGCATTTCCTCGTGAGACACGGTTTAGCCATTGACTTGAAAGGACACAGTTCAGTCATGTTTTAATAATGTGTTTTATTATTCATTCAAAATACCGTAAAATTCCGAAAATAAGCCCCTCCATGTATAAGCTCCTCCAAATATAAGCCCCCAAACCGGTAACGCAAAAAACCCTCCGTTAAATTGCCCCTCCAAATATAAGACCCCCGGGGGATTGTACTTGGAAAATTGTCCTCAAATACAAAGTAAAACAAAGCAAAAACGGTAAATTTACTTCCAAATGTATGGCTAGCCCAATCGATTTTGGAAAGCAAATTTCCCTCCGTAGATAAGCCCCTCCGAATATAAGACCCTCCAAAATTAAGCCCCTCAAAAAGGGCCTTTGAAAAATATAAGCCTCGGGGCTTATTTTCGGAATTTTACTTTGTTTCCCCGATTCTGATTGGCTAAAAGCACACGCATAATTCACCATAACCAGTTAGTGATGGCCAAATTTGGAAGAATTTTGTGTTTGACGAGGAAATGACGTCAAAAATGCAGCGTTCTTGCAGGTTAATGCACCGTTACCGAGAAGACCTGGGGACGAGGTTGAGTTGTTTTGGTTGTGAAAACAAAAAATGGCGGACATTTCACTCGTTTCAAGAGTAAGAACTAGGCGAAGTTATAGCTAAAAACATGGCAAGAACACAACTGGAAGGGCGACATATGCTATTTGGAGAATATTTGCGGAGTTGAAAAACCCTAAACGTGCACTGTCGAAGGTGAACTTAACATCGGTGGAGGTAAACATGTTTTAGCTTTTTTTTTTAAATGAATTTTTAATGAATAATAAAACAATTATTGAATTCGGCTTTCGTATCATACGACGAATTATGGAGATCTCAGAGGGTGTTATCCGCCGATAACATAATTCTTCATAAGATACTCAGCCTCATTCATTAATTGTTAATTAAGCATCGTTTAGCCGTTGTTTATCGAGACAACGTCTAAGCCGCGGCTCAGCCCTAAACACTGGTTAACTTAGTCTTCGTTTAAATAATCGGCTCTCTGAGTCTCACTGCTTACGCATGCGACAGTAATAAAAGACAATCAGGTCCTTTGTCACTTGACAGTAAAACCCAAGGTAAATGTCAGTTGTTGGTTAAATTTTAGGCAATCACGTGTTCCCAAAGACCACTTAACAAGAAGTTTGGGCAACAAGTTTATTGAGTCCGATTCGACAACAAGTACACTGAGTAGCGAATGACGTCGTAACTGAATCAAAAGACTCCCCGCGGGAGGGAGGACTGGGTATTGTGCTTGCTCTTCGAATTGAGCTTATGACGAACTGATTCGTGCAGCGAGCCTTCAGATAAACCTTTCATGACCTCACTTATGATGACGCGTAATTCGTTAACCAAAATCAATTAATGTAATTATTGAAGGAATTTTTTTTGTCAGTTGATATCTTGGCTATTCGTTAGTTGTCAGTTAACCCATCCAGACCTCCTGAAAACAGATTCACCCTGAAGTCACGCTGAAGGGCATCTTTTTAGTTCTACAGTTTGCACTGGGGTGCCGTCAAGCAACTCCGCCAAGTTTTGTGGAACAAGATGCAACTACTGCGGAGAAAGCAATTATAAGACTGCTTCTGAGAATTTTTGGGCGTGAAACGTGTTTCTTTTCCAAAGCTAAGTGAGGAGGGTGGAGTTCAATGTGGGGTGTGGGAAACGAGTGTAGAACAGCGAGTGAAGCTTAAGGATAATGGGTAGACCTCTGAACTTAAAAATTTCTGAATATGAGATTGCGAGCGGCTGGTGACGAGGCAGACGCAGAGTGATTATAAAACTTTGTAAATAGACAAAAAGTCGACACGGAGATATAGAGGTTCCCCAATGGGTTTTTCGGGATCCGTGCGGTTTCGCTGCATTGCGTATGTATTCTAAAATTTCCGAGAGTGAATCTGTTTCTGTAGGGGCATGAACTTGCTAATTCGTTTCTTTTGTTCAGAGTACATAAGTGTTTTTTACAAATGATAAAAATTTTTTCTTGGAGGCAAAGATTACAATTTTGTTAGCCTTGTCATATGGTTTACAATTACTGAGTACTTTCCGCTGCACGTGAAAGGATCTGTTGGCATCTTTGAGGGTCCACACCTGTTTGAACAGTTCCCTCTCGTTTCTTCTGTTCGCGTGTCGGAAGGATGTCAAGGGATTTTTGTACTGTTCTTTGAAGTCAGTGGCTACTGAGTCCAATGTATGATTCTGTTGTTGTCCCAGTCGTTACAGTCGCTTGGTAAATCACGTTTTGTCTGAGGCAATTACCGTCAAGAAACCGGAAGGCGCTCTTGAAGGTAATTGCCTGCAACCGACTAACTTCAAAGAACGGTGCAGAAATCACTTGACATCATTAAAATTGTGACTCGTTGAAATACTGCTAGGGACCACTACTGACTTACTGCCCGGCGTCAGATAAAGGCTTTTAATCGGCCTTTTAATGATTTTTCATTGTTTTAAATTGCCAAGTAGTAGAGTGAGTTGATTTTTTTTTTGCTAAACCAAGTTCAAAAATCCAGGTAAAACTATATATTATAATATATTATGTATATATACTTTCCCCATTTACAGCAACTTGTACATAGCACCTCTATCTGTTTTTCGATTAGTTTGCAGCTTGTTGACTGTTGTTCTTCTTCTCTTTAATAAAGTACACTGAATTACGTTGTAAGCAATCCAAAATTCGAGGTAAAACTTTCTCAGTTTGCCGGACAGCTACCGATGGCTAAGATTGATGCACTTACCTATAATAATTATTCAAATTAAAGTTTAATTACAAATAAAGTGAAAACAACGAAAGACTACCATTTCTCCCGGAAGATACGTTTTTATTATGATTCACCAAACAATCAATTGGCCAAATCAACGTGTTCCTGTTTTTCTGTGTGACGCGCAATACAAATTACCAAGCTCAGCCAAACTTTCAAATCGAAGCAGTTTTCTCGCCGCTTTTTTTCGCGAAATATGCTGTCTTGTCATGCAAGCCTGTAGGGGCGAATTTGATAGTGAGAGGGGACAAAAGTTAGCAGTGCTGGTGGCGTACTCAACTGTTATATGAACCCAAGGCCTATTTTTGTAAAGGAGGGGGTTTCGTGCCCTAGGGCCATGGGTGATGTTCCATCGTTTAAGCACTGTATATGAGTCTTCTTTAGCTCTTAGCTGAGAAAGTACTTTGCTTTTGCTACTAATTCCTACAATAATTCGACCCCGCAACAGACTGGATAAAAAAATTGATACGATGGCAAATAACAGCAGTAGGTAACAGTTAGTGATCTGAGCAATCCCCCGAGGAGGACTGATGACAGCCCCTTCTCCTCCATTGATATCACGTTACCATGTGGGTATTCTTGGTTTGCAACCACGTGAAAAGGCGGCAATGTTGGGGGTAGGTACAATAGAATTGTTTTCTCGAAGAATTTACATGAAAATAGAGGTTACTTCCCAGAGAAGAGAAATGCTTTTGTTCTTGACGACCAAGATGGCCGCTGTGACGTCTTCTGCAAACCAGCAATATAAGGGTTCACTTTTCATTATATCTAAAAACATACAGGAACATAAGCCTTCTATGCTCGCAAACTGTCAATGTGTATTTATTGGCCATAAAATTTAAATTACATCATGTACTGGCCCTCATTATCCCACAATAAACATTGTTCGATTTTGAAAAAGCATTCGGAAAAGTAATATTTTTGCGCCCAGATTAGTTTTACCAAACTGAACTTATGACGTTTGTCAAACTTGATTATACTATGAACATAGTGGCTTTTATGGTTATCATCAGGTGTCATTTATGCAGTGTATTTTCAAGATAAGTTCGCCATGTACCTCTCCAGTAAATTCGGCAGAACAGTAAAGCTCTCTGATTGTCTTGTCGCTATAAAAAACATTAGTCAAAAGAGTTTGTCGGTGTGATGTTGCGAGCAAGTAAGCTGTTCTCTTTAAGAATATGCGCCTGATTCGTATAGTCCTCATTACCAGAGAACTAATTAGCTAACTGACTAGTTTTAGTGATATTTTCATTTTGTTTTATGATTATTAAACCTTTTAACATAAACGAATGATTTTGTTTGTGTCTTTACAATCTGCAATGAAACAGAAAACAATCTTAAAGGTGCAATTCGGACTAGGACATTTGTCTGGTTTTCTTATATATTTTTTCTTATCAAGTTCGTTAGTAAATGTTCTTAGTCTAAGTCTTAGTTCAGGTACAGAAGTGTAGTTGTTGTAATGTTTCGTTTACAGCTTGTCTCACTCCTGTGATCTTCCAGCAGTACAGAAATGGGTTTAACGACGAGTTTAAAAGCACTAAAGTACCTGTAAATTGCAAAGCAAGGTAAGTAGATAAAGGCATCCCCCTTTGAGGTGTTAAAGCTGCAGCTATACCGTACGGCAGATAACAAATAACCAATGTTACCTGCACCCACAGTGCACTGTATACTGCCTTTCTGCATCTAGCTTTATTCAGTGTATTTGCTTGGCTCGATTGCCCTTGAAGAACATGGTTCTGACCATGAATTTGGTTATGACGCAGAGACATGAAAATTTTTATGTAGGCACAGATTGTAGTAACTAAACAAAGAGCTATAACAATATATTGGTACAATGAAACTATAAGAGGATTCAGAAAGGAGGTAGATGCACCGACAACGGACACAATCCAACCACCAATTGCGATCAAACGTGTTCTTTTCAAAGTTACGACTTGTCTGTATCTGAGACCCAGTAGCAAAGCAAGAAGTCTGTCCACGCTTATTGTGGTCATTGTTATCAACGACACTGAACACAAAGTAACACCTAGGAAATAGGTTATCAAATCTGTGTAATGGCAAATATCCCATCTTTTGTTCACCACAGATGTCCAATGAGCGACGTACAGAGGCTCGGCAACGATACCAACACAAAGATCAGTTATCGCTAGGTTACGATACAAGAGTTTTGATGACGAATGAATTGATGTGTCCTTGCGAAGGGCAACTAGGATAAGAGTATTCCCCAAAAATGCTGTAATTGACAAAAAAATGTTAATGACAGAGAGAAAAACGAGCTCGCCATGTACCTCTCCAGTAAATTCCTCAGAGCAGGCAAGTTCTGCAATTGTTTGCAGGTTTTCACCTCCAGTCAAATTTTTCATTTCCATGACTTTTCTGCGATGCGGCTACAGTCAACTGAACTCTTTTTTAATATATCTGACTTCCTTATATGACTGCTACGTGCACCCTGTCAGCAAACAATTAAATATTTGCTCTGTATTTTCAGTTTATTAAACGATGGAATTCGACAATCTTGTTGTTGCCTTTGTGTTGCCATGCGATTAGCGAGCAAATAGCACAGTTGCCTGGCTCTTAGAAAACGAGTTAAACTGTTAGTAATAAAAAGTCTATTAACCAAGTCTTGATCGATATTTCTTTTAAGCATATATTCAAATTGAGTAAAAAACGGTTTTCGTCAATTGCTAGAGGTTAAACTGACGCGCTCATAATGTCATGGCAGGCAGTGAGGTCTCAGTAACAATGTATAAATGTTCAAATAATGGGCTCGAAAGTCTGGGCCATTTACGAGGTGGGAATTAAAGAAAATAAAATGTTCGTTTGAGCTTAGGAAATTAGAATGTAACCTGTTTTTATCATAAAAAAATCATGAAAAAAAATTGAATTCGACGATTAGCTGAGAGCAATCAGCAGTTTTAGTAAACATAGTGAGAGCAAGAACGAGAAAATTTCGCTAACGGAGGTGTTAAGTTTGTGAGCCGAACATATGATATGCGGTGCCGTAAACAGCCGCTTAAAAGCCCTGGGATTATAAATCTTTGTAAGAGTTTTTTCTAGGGCTCTTGATAAAGTAAACGGAGGGGCTTATATCCAAGGGGGATTTTAACGAAATTGAAAAAAGCTGTTCGAAACAAGCTAAAGCAGCGCTGATTTAAATATGTTTTGCAGTTACTGGTAAAAGCTTCAAAATATCAAAATAAATGAAATTCATTTCAATGCAAGTTAGAGTGGAGCTTTTATTGGCGAGCCTGTTACTGGTGGGGCTTATATCAAAGTGTTTCTGTATTTTGTAGCTTCAAATTGCTTGTGCCGGTTTTTTATAATCAGGTTTGACTGACGTTCACATGGATACCAGCACTAAATTGGCCACATTTTCTTTAGAAGAGGACGTCTTAACCGAGTATATCCCCAGACATGTCAAACTTTGTTTGCTATAACTTTAACATTTTGGGCGATTTATTTGCAATTGCTTAAATTGCTATTTCACTACGTCAAGATTATATCTTCATTTAAATTGCTTTTTAAATTCATTTCCCCCTTTCACATCAACTCCCGGCGCGTCCAATTCGGATCTGTTATATGAAAGGTAAAATATTTAAAATTAAAAACGCCATGTACCTCTCCTCGACTCTCCAGTGAATTTTGCAGAACAATACAGGTGTCTAATTGCTTGGTAGCTTGTCATTACCATGACTTTTCTCCGAAGCAACTACGTTCAAGCGAACTGTAAGATCCAAGTGTAACATTTTTTCTATTATTCATTCTTGCGTAATTTGTTTTTCCTTTGCGTATTCAAATTAGTTTATACTTCTTTTCGTCCTTTTGTTTAGTCTTTTTTTTTGCGTTAATTTAGGTATTTATTCCTTTCTGTCAGTTTTCGCGCCCTCGTTAGTGTTTCTTTGCTGTTTCATCTTCATTAGCGCCTTTCTAAGTTTCTATAGTTTTATTTTCCGCATGTTCTAGCACAGGCAGCCCAGACGTAGTATGTGTCACTGAATGAATATATTAATATCCACATGGACAAATTATTGCGATGAGTCCTCGAAACTCCCATGGACTAAAATAGTCTAAAAGTCAAAATATAACAAAACAAAGCTAAGATACCTTCAACTGAACGTATCCTTGTCTTTCCTGGCCGGTTTAAGTGGCATTTTGTTGAGTTTTGAAATTGTAGGTACTATCCACTAAAGAAGAATTAAAGGCTGGCTACAAAACAAACAGACCATCTCCACGCGCCTTCACACGAAGCGCTATAAATTCGAGAATAATCGACGAATCCGCTCCAAATAACCATCGGCTAATCTGCAGGTAACGTGTGCTCCTGCTTCTGGCTCGCTTGCTCCACAAAACCCATCGCAACTGCACAATAATTGCTCGCTCATCAACAACCACTGTTGACCTTTACGCTTCGATATGACCGCAAACGACCAGGTTTAATACGCGACGTGAATATTCAAGCTTAGCGACCGCGTTCGCGCAACAATGCAGCACTTGCTATGGGAGGGATGGTACTATTGCTTCTAGGTCAATCGACTGACCGAAGGTTAGCTGCGTTAGTTTTGACCAGAAAACAAAAGGCGATTGCGGGACCGTCCGTAAGTTTTCAACAGGGCAGCCCTGGTTTTCAAGTTCGAATTCTTCTAACGTCCGCTGGCTCAGCTGCTGTCATATTGTTCGTCCAGCCGCTTGCATAGGTTCTTGACTCTACCAGACTTATTTGCTTAGATTAACAACGTCTTACTCCATAATATGTTGTCCAAACTGGTGAAGGAGGACGAGAATTTTCCGCCCAGGAAAAAGGCAAAATCTGGCCCCAGCTATGCAGCTGAATAGAAGATACAGCTGAAGATATCGTAAAGTAAAATTTATGTGCGCGATATCTTTTTTTATTATTATTATTATTCTCAAAACTCAGGGGAACCCAACGATGATTTCCCCCTAAAGGCATTGAACCCACATTTAAGGCTGTCCAGAGTACTTTTGATCGAAAAATGCATTCTAAACAGCGCTTACATAGTCAGGAGGGCTAAAAGCGAAGCTAATGATTTATAGTTTGCTCATACTAAATATAAAATATATCGTGTAATGCTAAGCGGAGAACGCAACGAGACAGGGCCACCCAACGACTGTTTCCTCAAATACTTTCAATTGAAAACACTTCTGTAGCTATTCATAAAGTACTTTTAGCTCTATAGAAATGCATTCTAAGTAGCGCTATAAAACTTGCATCTCAGTGTTCGGCCATTCTAGAGGAACTTGAGTCTTTTCGAAATTACGAGGAATTCAGAATTATTTTCCTGAAAATTTTAGATGCAATTTAACGTATTACGAAGGAGATAATTTTTCAGATACCTTCTTTCATCACATTTTTGAATCCGAAAATTTTAGGATTCCATTTTACTCTCTACGAAAAATAGCCTAACCCGGTGAGTGAAATGTGAAAAATTAAAAGTTGGATGCCCTTGACCAGAACTGTGAAAACAACAATAGGTCTAATTGCAGCACACTTTCTTGTACATTTCCTTGCCGTTGATTTGCATGACTGCAACGTGAAACGTTCAGAAAACTTCCTGGTTTTCACTTTTTATGGAGAAAATGTGGTATATGTTCTTGTTCACTTTTTCCACTGCCGCTCATTTTTTTTAGCTCCGCTATAAGATTCGTATCTGTTCGGTGCTCCTTGGGCAAATTGGATCTTTTTAAAAATTACAAGGGCTTCAATATTATTTTCCCGATTGATTGACCTGGAAGCAATAGTACCATCCCTCCCATAGCAAGTGCTGCATTGTTGCGCGAACGCGGTCGCTAAGCTTGAATATTCACGTCGCGTATTAAACCTGGTCGTTTGCGGTCATATCGAAGCGTAAAGGTCAACAGTGGTTGTTGATGAGCGAGCAATTATTGTGCAGTTGCGATGGGTTTTGTGGAGCAAGCGAGCCAGAAGCAGGAGCACACGTTACCTGCAGATTAGCCGATGGTTATTTGGAGCGGATTCGTCGATTATTCTCGAATTTATAGCGCTTCGTGTGAAGGCGCGTGGAGATGGTCTGTTTGTTTTGTAGCCAGCCTTTAATTCTTCTTTAGTGGATAGTACCTACAATTTCAAAACTCAACAAAATGCCACTTAAACCGGCCAGGAAAGACAAGGATACGTTCAGTTGAAGGTATCTTAGCTTTGTTTTGTTATATTTTGACTTTTAGACTATTTTAGTCCATGGGAGTTTCGAGGACTCATCGCAATAATTTGTCCATGTGGATATTAATATATTCATTCAGTGACACATACTACGTCTGGGCTGCCTGTGGTTCTAGCGTATTTTCCATATCGTAGTTTTGCAGTACAGTTTGTGCAGTTCATTTTGGTCCGTGCTTAGCGCAGTTCTGTTTTAGTTTCTTGCAAGTCTCTTCCCGTTATTCGCAGTCCGCTTCAAAGCAGTTTTCTCTGGCCGAAAAAATGTAAGTTTACTTCACAGTCCTCGTTTTGCAGTTTTGCTATTTCCTTACTCTAATTTACCTTAGTCGCAACTTGTAACTTTTTTGCTCTTTTACCGTTTTAGTTTCAATCAACGCTGTTTGTATGCACACTCTCTGTACCACGCATTTTATTTCAAGTACCAAGCACGTCGGCTACAATAAATCTTCATTCGAATTTGGTTTGTGGTGTTGTTATTAAAGGCCAAGAGACTTTTACGCTTATTGCAGTTTCACGAACCTTTTTTTAATATATCTGTTTTCCTTAGATGATAGTTTCAACATGTCAAAAACAAATTAGATATGTGAGCTGTATTTTCATTTTTTTAAACGGATTTCTGACTGATTTCTGAGTTATTGGCAATCTTGTTGCTGCCGTGCAATTGGCAAAACAAATAGCACAATTGTCTGGTTTTTAGAAAACGAGCTAAACTGTCATGATCAGTGATACAAAGTTTATTAACCGAGTCTTGATCGATACATCTGTAAAACAAAGATTCAAATTGATTAAAAATTGCTTTTTATTAATGTACTACTAATCGTCTCATCGCAGACAGGAAGTATTAACAGTATACACATGTTTAAAAAATTGGCTAAATTATGTCTGGGTCAGTTTGTACCATACTTACGAGATGAGAAGCAATATATCAAACATGAGACGCAGTGTTTCATCACCAGATGAAACACCGAGAAGAGAGTTGAAAATACGACGTGTAGCGGAGTATTTTTGACGAACTTCGAGGTGTTTCATCTGGCGATGAAACACTGTGTCGAATGTTTGATATTTCTTCTCAAACAAAATCATTTTTGAAGGAGAAATTAAGGATGCAAAAATGAGCAGTTTTTCATCCGATATCCAAACACTCGTTAAACATTAATTTCCTTTGAATTTTCTTTATGAATTATTAATGAGTTTGAGAATTAAAGAGAAAAAATGCTTTACGTTCGTTTTTGCTGCTACTATCTGTCTTTTTAAATCCAGATTAAAAACATTTCTTCTTAGTTGATTATCCATTTGTAAATAATACTTGTTTTTTGTTGCTTTTTGTCTGTTTTGTCCGTTTTGTTTTGCTTGCTTTTTATCCTAATTATATTTCAGTATGATTTTGCAGCTTATTTATTCATTATGTTTAGTCTTCGGTTGGGAAGCGAGCTCATATAATAAGCCCTAAGGTTTCCATTTGAGCTTCCTCGCCAGGAATTTTTTTTAAAAATTCTTTTACTTGCAATTTACGTCTCTTTAATCTTTAAATAACATTTTTGTAATATATTGGATATCTCTATGCATATGTATTTTTTTTTCTGGGAAAAAAATACATTGAAACTAAACTGAAACTGAAACTGAAACAGTTTCAGAGCTTAGGGAATTATTTGAATGTAACCTGTTTTTCATCATAACAATAGACATTAAAAAAAAATTCTTGAATCTGAGGATTGGCTAAGAACAATACAGTTTTATTAAACATAGAGCAAAAAAGAGGAAATATAATGCATAAGCAAGGTAATAAAATGTAAATAATATATATCATAGAATTGAGCTTCCACTGATGAAAAGGCGCCGCCGAGCTTCACATCTAGGTAGATTTACTTTGTGGAATAACGGCCGCCGAGCTACACAACTCGGTATATTTACTCTGTGGCACCACGGGCGCCTAGTTACACAACTCAGTAGATTTATTTTGTGGCACAACGGACGCCGAGCTTCACAACTCTCCGGTAAATATACTTTGTGGCAAAACGGACGCCGAGGTAAACAACCCGATTTGATGCATGCACCAGGATTCGCACGCATTTTCCAAAGAAAAATATGAAGGCTTAATCCAAAGTAAAATTTCACTCAGGGTGTAAAGTTTCAGCAAACTTTTGAAAGATGAACGCTTTGGAAGATTCATTAAACACAGATCGATAGTAGACCTTCAGCAAACTCTTAAATATGTAAGCTTTACTAAGATTCAGCACTCTTTTAAAAGTTGAAGGCTTTAGGAAGACAGAATAGCAGACCTCACCAAACGTCTGAAAGATGAACACACGAATCACCACGTGAGTTAGCGTGTCAAAGAGAGGCAAAACGTAAGCAAGCGCCTCAAAACGAGGCAAATATGTGTCGACACAAATGCAATCTCGAAAAAAACTCCCTTATTAATTGCACAGGACACCCAACAGAAATTAGAGGTTGCGTTCTCGTACCTCGAAAGCAATGATTGAACTTTAACCCACGTATAAGAACCTGCTTGATCTTGCTTGGCTAAACAGGTTCTTTTATGTTTGGGTAAATTAAAGTGAACAATTTCTGCCGGCAGGCTTTTAAACCACTAGGTTCTTACACGCGGGTGTTTACTGTAACACATTTAATCAGTGTAAATTAAGCCAGTAACTGAGTCACGTGATATACCGCTAGCCTGAATGGAAAACTGAAATTCTCCAGTGAAATAAATTCTGCTCGCGGCTTTCCCCATTTTACTGGAGTATATGGGCTTTGTGTATCGCAATGTTCGCTTGTATAAAAAAATGATTCAAGTAAAACCGTTCATTTCTTTTCGGGGAGGATTTTTTCGTAAAGCAAGTTTTGGTTTGGAATGAATTTATAGCTAAAAAGCAGAGTAGACCATAGTAAACTAACCGCTCCATCGATGGACGAGTCGCCTTAATGTTTCTTTTACAGCTAATTTCACTTCTCTGATCTTCCAGCAATAAATAAAGGGGTTCATAGATGAGTTTATATATACTAAAGTAATTGTAAATTGCCAAGCAAGGTAAGACGATAAATGCGTCCCTCTTTTATGTATTAAAGCTGTCGCTATGATAAGTGGCAGATAACAAACGACCAAAGCGGCCTGCAGCAACAGTGCACTGTACACTACCTCTCTGTATCGAACTATGTTCATTTGAATTGCTTGGCTTTCTCCTTGTAAGGGGTGGATTAGCCTGCGAACCGCAGACGCATTTCCGGTCGTCGCTTCTCTCCCTCCGAAAAATAGCGTCTGCGAACCCGAGCGACAAAACGATTTCCGTGACGTAAAACCTTTTTAGCCAATCACGGTTTAGCTCTTAAAATCAAGGAACTAACTCGCGAGACTTCTCGCAGGATCGTGCGCGATGGATATGTTTTCAAGTCGAAATTGAAAGGACGACGTGGCTTGTGTATAGCCGTCCTTTTTTTATCAGAACGACGCGTTTACGAAAGTTAATTTGCCAGGATTGTGGGACTGATTGACGAAATAAGTATCAAGAGGATTCATATCGAAGAAAAGATTAGAGGACATTTTTCATCTATTTGCCTACGGAGTCAATGATTTATCAGACGTAGTTGTTTTGATCATATTCGAAACGATAACTGTCCTAATCATCACAGTAGACGCATCACGCCGTTTGTTGCTTCTGTTCCTTTCTGGTTCCTGGCAGGAAAGTATGCCTTGGAGAACTCTTCGATAGTTTGTCGTGTGCCGTTTTAGATATTTTTTAGTAGATATCCTTTATCTTTGAAAGGTAGGACATGTGGTAATTGATTTCCCGTGCGTGGTTGGTTCTTGGTTCAGATAGAACTTTGATCAGATCAAGATCGAAAGCATTTTATATTTGTTCCGTTATATTTCTTTAAATACATGTTCTTTTCAAGGTTCTCATTTCCATAGTTTTTTGTGAGATGAGTAGAAGCGTCGTAGCTGAAATGTCATTTTGACTATGATCTATTTACCGCTGTAACTATTTATTTCACGCTGGGTCTGGCCCAGGTTTATAATATTTCAGATCATTGTGTTGTGGCGATACTAGAATTATTAACGAGCGATTGTTAGAGATTTCTGAATCAGTCAAGGATGTACCTGTATAATTGATTCACCACCTTTTGTCAGCGCTGGTTAAATTGAAATAAATAAGTCTGAGCGCGATGTCATTAAGCTATGTTACTTTCCTTTCACTGTAGCGATTATTTTGTCCAGGTTTTGTTTATGTCACGTATTACCGTATTTTATAATGCGAAACCAAAGGCCCACATCACATACATAGCTTAAGAAGCAGTTGCTTCATAAAGAAGTCAGCATTCAACGTCGCAGGACACCTTGTTATGGTCGTGAAATTCACGTTCCAAAGCGTATTTGGTAATTCTCTCCAAAATCCAAGACACTTCAGCGCGCGAGGTCGCGAGGAGTCACTCGAGCTGTATTCTATCCTTTGATCTGATTGGCCTACATCAAAACAAGAGGTTTTACGTCACGGAAATCGTTTTGTCGCTCGGGTTCGCAGACGCTATTTTTCGGAGGGAGAGAAACGACGACCGGAAATGCGTCTGCGGTTCGCAGGCTAGGGGTGGATCCGATGAATTTGGTTATGACGCAGACGGAAGAAAATTTTTGAGTAAGCGACGATTGTGATGGCTAAGCACAGCGCTGTACCTATGTAACATATTCTCTTATAGCTGTAGAAGCTGGTACGCCAACAACAGAAACAATCCAGAAGGCAATGATAGCTATGTATGTCTTTTTTACAGTTACAACTTGTCTGTATCTGAGCCCCAGTAGCAAGGCGAAAAGTCTGTCCACACTTATTGCAGTCAGTGTTAATAAAGACACTCCACAAAAGGTATAAGCTGCCAAAGTAACCATCAAATGAGCCAGATAACAAATATCCCATTTTCCCGTCACCACAGAAATCCAATAGGAAACATGGAGAGGCCCCGCAATGGTACCAACACAGAAATCAGTTACGGCTAGGTTACGATACAGGAGTTTGGACGGCGGGTGAAGTGAAGTTTCTTTGTGCAAAGCAACTAGGATCAGAGTGTTTCCCAGAACTGCTGCAATCGACAGAAAGATGTTTACAATTGACAGAAAGATCAGTTCGCCTTGTACCTCTGCAGTAAATTCGGCCGAGCAGGATAGTACTACGATTTTTTTCTGGTTTTCACCTTCAGTAAAATTCTTCAGCGCCATTTTGTCTACGATGCAACTACGCGCAAAAGAGTGCTATATTAATATACCGATATGGGGCTCTCCTTAGCTGTTTTACCTTTTATTATCGAAACTAATATTAACTAAGTGCGCAGTATTTACGTTATTTATCACTTGTTTGAGGTGGCGCACCTTAGAGGTTCCATTTACAATTGCCTTGAGTTTGACTGAGGCGTATATTGCCTGGACGCTAAAATCTTAGTGTTCAATTTTGAAAAGGCAATTTTTAAGGGAAAGTGTTATTTTTGGGCCTCAATTATTTTACCTAACTGATCTAATGACGGATAGTTTTAATAATAACGTGACAGTTCTTTCGGTATAAACACCTGCTACTTTTCTTAATGCGTGCTTATTTGTCCTCGCCATTTTGTCTGCGATGTTATTGAACGAAGCGGAAGTGTGTGGTTTATAGTTAAAGAGAAAAACACTTCTTAAACGGTGAAAGGTGATGTTGATTCCTCATTTTACTAAACACAAAAGTAGCTCCTGTGTAGACTTCTCCTAAATTCTCCTCCTAACTGGAAGTTTTCCTGCATACGAGAACTGGAAAAACGTTCGAAAGCGTGCCACTCAATCGACATTTTCGAATATTCCGGCAACACAATCAAGTGAAAATTTTAATCCCTCCATAATTGTCAAAAATATGAGTAATCCTTCTTGTACATTATTTTCCCGGAAAAATTTCGAAAAACCTTAAGATTGTACTGTTTTTCCATGCGTTCGTTACGTATAGGGATTTCTCGCAATTCTAAATCGAAATTCACTTTGTTAAACGGAAAATGTCCATATTTATTAGCCGATTATGATTTTTTAATTTAGCTTACGACTGAAATTAGTTTTCCTTTTCTTTTATCCGCTGAAGGTTTGTCTTCCAGACTAAAATATTAGGTAATAAGTACTGAAAGTATATTTTTCGTTTTTCTATCTGATTTTGATTATTCCTTCATCGCTTCGTTGCCGTCAGGATCAGTTCGCTGTTTATATATTTCTTGCATACTGCCAGCTGATTGCAGAAACCCTCAGTGAAGCCCTCAAAGGGGGCGGTGGGGGTTGGGAAAGAGGGGTAGCTTATCTATTTCAAACATGTTTAATGGGGGGGGGGAGCGGCGGCGGCTTAATTGAGAGGAGGGCTTGTTTAATTTGGGGCTTTAGATATCAGTGGGAATTTTTATTAATGGTCCAATACACGCTCTTCAGAGTCAGGTAACAAAAATTGGCCGTAAAACAACTTCTGCTCTGGAGTCACAAAACACATTGTTAACAAGACCAGGGCGTAATAAAATTTGGCAAAATTAAGTCCCTAGTTCTAAGACAGGCTCGACAGGGTCAGGTTACCAAAAATTGCCGTAAAACAACTTCTGCTTTGGAGCCACAGAACAAATTGTAAACAACATCAGGGGGTGATAAAAAAATTGGCGAAATTAAGCCCCTGGTCATAAACACGCTCGACAGAGTCAGGAAAGAAAAAATTGCCCTAAAACAACTTCTGCTCTGGAGTCACAGAACACATTTATTTAGAACAAAAACCTGTGGGTTTTGCTTAAAACAAAAACGAAAGCATAAGCCAAACAATAGCTCAGACATGAAAATGCAGCCATTTATAATAACACGTACCTTAAAAAACCAAACGGGAATGCATGCTAGTAAAGCAAATTCATGTACTGACTCTGCATGAATAAAACTAGGACAATCGGAAGTGCGAAGACTAAATAGCGTCAGACAAAATAGGCATATGAAAAGAAAAAACTGAAATCCCCGCATGCAGAAATAAGAAATCGCGGACATACTGCGAGAACTGAACAAGAACTGACTGCTAGCCGCTCAATAAGATTGGAGAAAAACCGAAGCAATAACGAAAGAACCTCTCACGGGATCCATCAGAAGAAAATGATCGATGAAACTAAGGAATTGCAACCTGAAAGATAAAGTGGTACTGTGAGGACAATATAGGAAAAGACGCGGCTCGAGGGGTAGCAGGCTTACGCGCCGCTAATCCGACAGGGAATTAAAGACCGGTACACACGAGGGATTTTGCTCCCGGAGCATGCTCCAGGGGCACTTCCCGGGAGCAAAGCTCCTCCGTGCGTACCAACGATTTCATGGGTATACTTCAGCCTTGGGAGCAGAATTTCCAACCCGCAAAATGCTCCCGATATTTAACCGGTTTAACATTTGGGAGCATGCTCCCGGGGCAAATTGAGCGAACTTCGGGAGCAAAACCCCTCGTGTGTATCGGCCTTTAGACTCCCTTGTAAGACTGAAATCTCGGGAGCGGCTGCAGAAAAAGAATAACAAGGAAAGGATTGGAAAGAAATACAACCAAAGCAAAGAATAAAACTAAGAAAATTCTGCAAAAAAAAAGGGAAAAAGTGCAGAGAATACTGACCTTGAAAATATATGTGACAGACCGAATGTCGAACACGTGGCAACCTATAAAATCTAGGTTGCAAAACAAGATACTTATCGCGAGCATAGCTTAAGAAATTGAGGAGGATGGAAATAAAAACAGGAGGCCGGAAGGAAGCGGCGAACGCCAATGAAGAAACAACGGGAAAGGCGAAAGGGTGAGGAGGGAAGGAGTTTTGACGAGCACGTTTAATGAGGCCATGATGAGACCTGTGTGTCTTGTCTTGAAGGTGATAATGAATGTATGATGTAGGTGTCTTATATAGTCGCTTGGGCAAGACTGCTGTAAATAGTGTACAGGAAGGCACTAAATTAGCTAGTATGCAGGAAGACACTGACTAGACACTTAATTAATCGGCAGGAAGGCACTTTTTCCTAACCAATTTTCCCTAGGTTATAACAATGGGTGATGTCATAAACTCGACTCTTATGTATATCAATGATTTACCTCGACCTTACTCTACACTTACTCGACACCAACGAGGGTTAATTCTGACCCTCTATGACTATTTATGCTACTGTATTTTAAATTTGTTTTTAATTTTAATGATACACGAGTGAACAGCACACGTACACTTCCATTGAACATTTTCACTTGTGCATGGAAGACGGAGAAACCATGTAAATTACAGTACAATTCTCTGACGGTTTTCTGGCTGGTGTCTCTGTGATGTAACTGAGTTCAAATGAGCTGTTCTCTTTCTGTAGCTTATTGATAGATTGATAGTCTTCATTGGGTCTTCATTGTCAGAGAACTAATTCGCTAACTGGCGAGTAATATTTTCATTTTGTATTGAGATGACTCTGATTATTAACTTGTATGTTTAACATAAACAAATGAGTTTGTGGGCTCGATTTCCGCCGTTTCCCTGGTCCGGTCTTTGTTCCTCCCCGAAAGGTTTTTCGAGGAGCGGGGTAGGGGGGGAAGGTTATCTATCCTAATGAGTTTTGTTTTTGTCTTTTAACCTGCAATGAGACATTAATGGTTCAATTCCGAAAGATACAGGACATTTGTCTGGTTTTCTAAGTCGAGCTATGGTTAACTCTTGAAACGTAAAAATGAGGGCGGTGGGGGATTGAGGTCAATCCCCTCGGTTTTTTTTTTAATATTATCAAGTGTATTTTCTCTGGGCTGCTCCCCATTTCAAAAGCCATGAAAGCTCTTCTTTTGTGTTTGAGACACATTTTGTATTTGAATTTGGTGAAAAGTAAATGACAAGCGAGGTGTGCTTGTACAAGCTTATAAAAAAAGAATGAAAGTTCTAATTTTAAAGCTTATGGGAAGTACAGTACCCATATTATTTATTTTCTTTCATATTTTACAGTTTCCTATGAAGTTCGTTAGTAAATGTTCCTTTAACAAGCCAAAACTACACTTTCTGGACGGCGGTTTACAACTGGTAGTCTTAATGCCATAAGTCTTAGTCTAAGTCTTAGTTGATACAGAAGTGTAGTTGTAATGTTTCTTTTACAGCTTGTCTCACTCCTGTGATCTTCCAGCAGTACAGCAACGGATTTAACGACGAGTTTAAACACACTAAAGTAGCTGTAAATTGCAAAGCAAGGTAAGTAGATAAAGACATTCCCCTTTGAATTGTTAAAGCTACGGCTATACCGCACGGAAGATAATGTTACCTGGACCCAAAGTGCACCGTACACTGCCTTTCTCAATCGAGCTTTATTCAGTGTATTTGCTTGGCTCGATTGAGGAACATGGTTCTGACCATGAATTTGGTTATGACGCAGAGACATGAAATTTTTTGTGTAGACACAGATTGTAGTAACTAAACAAAAAGCTGAAGCAATATAATTGTACAATGAAACTACAGGAAGATTCAGAAAGGATGTAGATGAACCAACAATGGACACAATCCAACCACCAATAGCAATTAAACATGTTCTTTTCAAAGTTACAACTTGTCTGTACCTGAAACCCAGTAGCAAAGCGAGAAGCCTGTCCACACTTATTGCAGTCAGTGTTATCAACGACACTGAACACAAAGTAACACCTGCGAAATGTGCTGTCAAATATGTGTCATAGCAAATATCCCATCTTTTGTTCACCACAGATGTCCAATGAGCAACATTCAGGGGCTCGACAGTGATACCAACACAAAGATCACTTATCGCTAGGTTGCGATACAGGAGTTTGGATGGCGGATGAATTGATGTGTCCTTGTGAAGGGCAACTAAGATCAGAGCATTCCCCAAAAATGCTGTAATTGACAAAAAAATGTTGATGACAGAGAGAAAAATGAGCTGCCCATGTACCTCTCTAGTAATTTCCACAGAGCAGTAAAGTTCTGCATATGTCCGCAGGTTTTCACCTCCAGTAAAATTTTTCATTTCCATGACTTTTCTATGGTGGCCCAAAAGTGTCACGGCAATTTCAATTTACTCACGGCAATTTCAATTCAATTTGACTCACGGCAATGTCAATTTACTCACGGCAACGCTCACGGCATTTTTCGCTTCGCTCACCACCTGTCAACTACGGCGGCCGACTGGGACGAACTCAGACCGGTATGAGTTTATATCGGTCTCCATACATTTCTTTTGAGGCATGCGTTTACATGGGACCGGCCTAAAAATGAACTCAGACCGGTCTGACTTCATCTCGGTCGCTGACCAGACCCGAGTTACTTTCGTACGGGTCTGAAACCGTACCGTTCTAATGTAAAACAAAAAAACGAACCTCAGACCGGGTCCATAAGTAACATGTTTCTTCGTTTGGCTCCACCATTTTTGCTTTTTCTTAGCAAAAATAGGAACACTGTTAGCAATAACAATCAATAAACAAGCCTTAGAAGTAGCTTCAATGCTTGGATAAATGTGAGGGATTGCACCATTTTGAGATGCTGTGCAGTAAATATTAACCGGCCACCAGGCGAGTAGTAAACTCTTCGGTTGTCTTCTCACTGTCTACTGGCATAAGTGTTCGTGAATCGACTTTGATGTTTGATTTTCACTTTTCACTTTGAAGATCTACTTTAAGTATCGACTTTTGAATTTGCTTTTTGACTTTTGGTGACCACTGTCGGCCGCCGTAGTAGACAGGTTGTGAGCTAAGCGAAAAATGCCGTGAGCGTTGCCGTGAAAAAGTAGAGATTGCTGTGAGTAAATTGAAATTGCCGTGAGCAAAATCGAAATTGCCGCGAGTAAATTGAAATTGCCGTAAATAAATTGAAATGGTTTCTGTGAGCAAATTGAAATCGCGGTGAGTAAATTGAAATTACCGCGAACAAATTGAAATTGCCGTGACACGTTTGGGCCACCGTACTTCTCTGCGATGCGGCTACAGTCAACCCAACTGTGTTTTAATACATCTGTCTCCTTATATGACTGCTACACATGTGACGTTGTGAACAAACAATTTAAAATATTTGCTCTGTATTTTAGGTTTATTAAACGATAGAATTCGACAATCTTGCTGTTGCCGTGCGATAAGGGAAGCAAATAGCACAATTGCCTGTCTTTTAGAAAACGAGTTAAACTGTTAGAAATAAAAAGTGGATTAACCAAGTCTTGATCGATAGTTCTGTTAAACATATATTCAAATTGAGTAGAAAACGGTTTTCGTCAATTGCCAGAAGTTAAACTGACGCTCTTATAGGGTCATCGCAGGCACTAAAGTCTCAGTAACAATGTACAAATGTTCAAAAAATGAGCTGTAAAGTCTGGGTCGGTTACGAGATGGGAATTAAAGAGAATCATTTTTTTTTTTACATTCCGTCGAGCTTCGGGAATTACAATGTAACGTGTTATTACTACAAATATAATAAACGTGAAAAAATTCTTGAAACTGATCATTGGCTGAGAGCAATGCAGTTTTAGTAAACACAAAGCAAGAACGAGAAAATTTTGCTAACGGAGGTGTTTAGTTTGTGAGCCGAGCATATGATTTGCGGTGCCGTAAACTGCCGTTTATAACTAAGCCCTGGGACAGGAGCCCATCAAATGGGCTCCTGCCCTGGGATTATACATCTTCGTAAGGGGACAGGAGGGCTTCTAAATGGAGCGGCTTAGAACCGGAATGAAAAAAGCCCTTCAAAACAAGCTAAAGCAGTGCTGATTTAAAATGCGTTTTTCATTTACTGGCGTTTAATTCAGCTTCAAAACATCATAATAATCGAATTCATGTCAATACAATTTAGAGGGGAGCTTATGTTGTGGGGGAGGGACTTACAATCATAGCAGGTTTTTTTTGTTGTTTCAGGTTAACCCTTTAAGCCCCAATATCCACATACAAATTCTCCAAACTGGTCTATATACATTTCCTTTAAGAATTAGTTGAGAGAATTGGATAAAAGATCAAAGTATTTTCTCTTAGGTGATCATTTTATTAATTCTGATAACCTCATCTCATGACAATGTATGGATATCGTTAGGAAAAAATTGCTGTTGGTCACTATTGGGACTTAAAGGGTTAATGGGCCTATTACTGGTGGGGCTCATATTAAAGTTGGGGGCTTTTAAGCGTTTCTATATTTTGTAGCTTCAAATTGCTTGTGCCGTTTTTCTATGATCAGCTTTGACTGACTTTCACATGGATACCAGCAGTAATTTCGCTACATTTTCTTAGTCGAGGAAATCTTAACCGAGTATGATATTCCCAAACATGTCAAACTTCGTGGGCTATAACTTTTACATTTTGGGCCGTTTATTCCCAATTGCTTAAATTGCTATTTCACTACGTCAAGGTTATATCTTCATTTAAATTGTTTTTTAATTTAATTCCACCGTTCACACCATCTCCCGGCGCGTCCAAGTCGGATCTGTTATATGAAAGGTAAAATATTTAGAATTAAAAACGCCATGGTGACGTTCATTTCGATTGCTGAGTATAGTGAACCCAAAATATTAACATGGAACTTGCACCATCATTCACCATCATTTTTTTTTTTTTATAATTTTACGTTTATTGACCAAACATATATTACAGTTGCAAAATTCAAAACTAAAAGGAAGTACATAACGATATTACAGATTGCATCAAAATTACATAAAGACGAGAAAGAATAATACAGCAGTTGTAATAATACGCACAATAACGATCGACCTGCTAATTAACAGATTATTCCAGTAAGATGGATTCTTACTAACTAATTGAAGGAGGGGGTTTTTCGAAATCGTATCTCCAACTGATTTCAGCCTTAAATTCATCCAAAGATAAATCCTTAGTAGCTAACTTATTTATGTACAAGTAATATTTAGCAACAAAAGAGTAAAATCGAGCTTTTTGACAATTGCCGAAGAGCTTTGATTCTTTCTTTCATTATTAAGACCAAAAATTAATTCACTTGAGGATGGCGCAAAGGAGGTGGCATTCTCGACGTTGAACCATTTGATTACTTCTGAAAAAAACCACTTGGTCCAGTGGCAGTTACAAAAAGTATGGATTACTGAATCATTTTGACTGCAGTAAGGACAAAGCGCATTTTCTGCAATACCATACGTGAACAGTTCTCTCTTTGTGACGACAATTCTGTGTAAGAGTTTAAAGTAGAATTCTCTTAGTTTGTTATCTCTGCAAATATTTTTCACACGGGAGAAATGATGCCTTGCAAGTATTATTTCAGGTAGGAGGTCTCTTTCCCATTTCGTGTTAGCGTTTATTTCAGGTTGATCTTTACTAATCAAGAGCCAGTAGTAATTTCTATTTTTCATTTTAAGCAAATCTAATGAAAGGTCCGCTGAGAGCTGGAAGAAGCTTTCGGACAAAATACTAGTTTTATCAATGTGGCATCTCCGTGCGTCATCCATCAGATCCTTAGGAATCGCAGAAACAACTTGCATGTATTGTAAGAAATTACCGTTCAGTTGAAATTTCCTAAAAAATTCCGAGTAAGAAAGTACCTTACCATCATCTCCTAAGAGATCTTGAACAAGAAAGACATTTTTATTCATCCAACTTCTATAAAAGAATGAACGGCCGCCAATTAAAACATCTTTATTGTTGAATAATACAAACCGGCAAAACTGCGTATTATAAGAAATTTTAAGTTCTAAGAAATGTAGTAATATCAACTTATAGAGGTAAGGGAGACACATTTTATCAAGAAAGTTCTTGTCATAATTACAACGTAGCAGGAAGTTCAAGCCACCGTATTTATCGAAAAAGTGGTTAGGAATGACCTTCCATGATTCGTCGTCATGCGCAGGTATACTTTGTAAGAACCTGGATATACATGCCAGTTTAAGTGATTTGGCCATGGTCTCTATGCTTGGAGCACGTAGACCACCTTTGTTATAGTCTTGGACCATAATTTTGCGTTTGATTTTGTCTCTTCGATTTTTCCAGATAAATTTAAAGATGCTTGAATTAGCAGCTTGAACCAATTGTGTTGGAAAATTGAGTGTTGAAAGTGGGTGGACTAGCTGTGAGATGCCAAGAGATTTCGTTATAAGACACTTACCAAAAGGAGTGAGGTTCCTAGAGTTCCATATGCCAAGAATGGTGTCAAGTTTTTGCATCTTTCCTTTAAAATTGAATTCCTTATTTTGTCTCTCATCGTACGAAATATAGGTTCCAAGGACTCTGAGCGGTTCTTTGGGCCACTTAAAGTTAAAGGGTTCGTCCTTGCGATTTCTTAATGACCCTAACCAAAGCGCTTTGGTTTTTGACGGGTTTAGCTTAAGGCCAGATAGATTTCCAAAGAAATTAAGAACCGTGATAGCTCGATTGACCGAATTGCAGTCATTGCATAACTGAGTTGTATCGTCGGCAAACTGGCTTAGTTTCAGCTCTTTTTGAAAGACTGTTATTCCTTTTATTGTTTTGTTTTGTACGTCTTGCCTGATTTTGCACGCTAAAATTTCCGCCCCTACGATAAATAAATAAGGGGAAAGGGCAGCCTTGCCTCACTCCCTTCGACAGTTTAAAGAAATTTGTGCAAAATCAATTGTTAAGAACAGCGCTCTCCGAATTATTATAGAAAGTCGAGACCCATTGTTGTATACTGTCTCCAAAATTAAAGAGTGCGAGGCTTCTTTTAATGAAGCTCCATTCGATAGTATCAAAAGCTTTACAAAAATCAAGCTGTACAAGAATACTGGAATATTTTGTATTTCATTCACCATCATATTTAGCTGTCCTCTTTTGTCTTAGAGAAAAATTAGCTCGTCATGTACCTCTCCTCGACTCTCCAGTGAATTTTACAGAACAATACAGTTCTCTAATTGCTTGGTAGTTTGTCATTACCATGACTTTTCTCGGAAGCAAATACGTTCAAGCGAACCTTTTTTTAATACATTATATCTGTTTTTCTTATATGATGGCTTCATCATGTCAAAAACCAATTAGATATGTGGGCTGTATTTTCATTTTATTAAACGACAGAGTTATTTGCAAT